GATACCTCTAGTTCAGTAATCGTGAGTATGGATACCTCTAGTCCAGTAATCGTGGGTGCTGGTATCTCCGGTACAGTAATCGTGAGTATATATACCTCTAGTCAAGTAATCGTGAGTATGGATACCTCTAGTCCAGTAATCGTGAGTATGGATACCTCTAGTACAGTAATCGTGAGTATGGATACCTCTAGTCCAGTAATCGTGAGTGCTGGTATCTCCGGTACAGTAATCGTGAGTACTGGTATCTCCGGTACAGTAATCGTGAGTATATTATTAATTTAACAAGAAACACACACAAGAAAAACCGACATGTTAACATAATTTTAATTTGAATGCAAATTTGATGGAACTAGGGCAAAATATGAACGAAAGAAAGTTTTACATGGAGACTCATAAAAAAGCGCAAGGTGATTCCTTAAGGGTAAGTCTCTCCTTCTTCGACGACACCCGCCATTTAAATCTTGGTCAACCCAAGTTAATAATGTCATGTTCCCAAATGAGAACAAGGTAAGCGACAACGGAGCCTTCAGGCAAAGTGACGAGCATCAAACACGCCAAGGAAATAAATCATTTCCCAATAAGAATCTTATGGTGACCGTAAAGTTTCAACCTTTATCAACCTGCATCTCCTGAAACCCTGTGTTTGTAAGCTTGTTTGTCAATGGCCAGCATCTTACACGTAATCGTGATAAAAAGAACAAGCCCTTGAATATCGAATCAACTTCATGCATGGTAGTTATCCAGAAATAGAATAATCGTGAAGAAAATTTATCATATAAAGATGGTTTAACTGTTTAGAAGGAGAAATTAAACAACATAGCTGTGTAAATATCATATATTTCCTTAAAATGACCATTGTCTCGAATGGAGTGTGTAATTCTTGACTGCCACAACATATTGTTCTTTATTAAAGTAACCTAGGTAAAATACCAGCCGCGATATACTACTCGGCAAGAGAGGACTTCTCTTTATCTGGATCAGTTGAGCGTCAAGCTAGTAAGCCTGGTGTTCTGGGTTCGAATCCTAGCAGAGGCATTAAAATAAATAATGACTACTGTTGTGTTATAGTGTAATTATTAGGCACTAACTTCTAACTTAATGCATCAATTTTATACCTGACGATAAAGTAACGGATAAAAAATGACACACAGAATCCATATAAGTGGAGTTAATCTGATTACTACCAATAGCATTCCAGTTATACAATGTTATCACGCGCAATACAGCGCGGAAGTGCTCCTTAGCATCAATTGACCTAACCAGAGCATGTGATTTGTAATCTGGAACTGTGGCCTATAAATGACTAGAAGTGTTATCTGATCAGTATTTGTAAAACGTTAACTCATGTCACTAAAAAATATCAATATTTGAAATTTAATATACATTTTTTATCATTCTTGTGTCCGCTATAAAATTAACGATACAAAGTTTATTCTGCAGGACAGAATAAAAAATGATAGTGTCCAAAATGCGACCGTAACTTCGGCAAGAGATGTTCACGAAACAAAAGTAAAACGACGAGTAACAGTAAATTGATACTAAGGAAACATGACTACCACGGGATGTTCCACCGACAACTAACTTGATTACATTCACTATATATAACTGGTGCATTGTCTGAAGTATGTAGGTATCCACCCAGAGATGGATTTAATGGGGGTGTGGCTGGCGAGTCAAACTGGCGACACCCTCACATAGACTTACATGTGCTAATCCATTTAGCCTCAAGATTCGTGATACGGTACGATTTTCATCGAGTTTGTTCCTGACTGTCAACTTTTGTGAACAAGCCGGTACCGATATCTGTCCCCGATATTCTATAAGTAAATGAAGTTTGTTTAAAATACAAGAGTTTTGTTATTCTCATTTTCTGGAGTTTTGAATTTCAAGGATTTTTTTTCTCTCTTACGTGAACAAGTCAGATACCATGACCTTTCATAGACCTCGTATCAATGCAGTGATTTCATCTAAAGGCGGGGGAATAACTCTTACATGGTGAGGGCACTACGCCCTAACACACTAAAATGTAATAGACAGACAGAAAACTATCAAAATAGTTGTGTTGTTGTACCCGTAAGGCTCGTATGTTCCGGGGACGGAGGCAGGAAAAACAGAGTCATCTGAAGTGATTTCAAACTCATGGTTATCCACAGTCAGTTTATAATATGCCAAAACGTATAAAATAAATTCGAGGAATTGGACGACGTCTTCGTCGTTAAAAGCCGTAATAATAATAACGACAATTTCTGGATGTTTGCCAAATCACGTAATACATTAGTCATGAATTTTACAATAAACAGTTTCACTTGTAACGACAAAACAACATACATGCACAAATATATGTATTTCATAAAAAGTAATATTCCATCAGTTCGGCAATCGCAGAGAACATGCGACTTCGAGGTTAAATTTTGCTGTTAAAAAAAAACCAACTGCGTAAAATTATGAACGAATTTTATTTTATTTTTCTAAAGGTAGTCTTTGGTCTTCCATCAAAAGTTTTTGTCTTGTACGGAGAACTCTCATCTCCACGGAAACTTCTTTTTAAAGGTAAAGAAATGTTAGTATGCCCTCAAAGAGTAATTTCAAAGTTCAGAAAGAAAAAAGATCTATAATTGACTTTTACGTACTCAGCAATAAGTCAGAAGCGATTTCGTTTTTTTTAAATACTTGAATGCTTATTTCTGACGTATCGATAGAAAAACGAAACAAACCGTTTCAATAACAAGTCATTGCAATGCCGCCTCAACTGACCCCTGACGCTGCAGGTCAAGTTTTAATGATTAAGTTGGCATTTATGAAGACCGCTCCGTTTGAACTCTTGTAAACGGTTCGGTTACGAAAGTCATATAGTGAAAGGTAACGATTTTTAAAGAAATAAATTATTTCACAATTGCTGAATATCTGTAATAATTGACACGTCGAAGTTTTACTTACTAACTTTTGTAACAGTTACAGTGCAGCGCCCAGCTAACACAGAGCTATCGATTTCACAGAGAGCACTATACAACGTATTGCAGGCATACAAAAGCCTATTCTTGGTTTTCATCGGTCAATTTTCTGCCTGATTTGACAGATATGTTACCAATGTATATCACGTGATGTTCAGGTACATACGGACTCCAGTAACAGAGTGAATTTTATACCTGTTAACGAGACCTTCGTATAACCAACACGCCTACGTTGTAATTTCTGGTTGCTGCAAGTATTCCTGCTCTGTCAATACATCTTGTGCATGGAAACATTTGACATTGTTCAACCTCCAGGCAACTTTACACTTTACAGTGCCATGTTTTATTAAATTAAAAAAAAAAATTTGAAAACAAGAACAGCACAAATCTGACGTCATCATAAATAAACCTACCAAGTTTCAAAGAGATCGTTCCAAAACATAATCTTAAGATATAAAAATAAGCGGATGAAGACGGACGTACAATAGTACTCCAGCCAATCACATCACCGAGAAAACACTGGAAAAGAATCATCAAAATGGCCAGTGGATCTGGGAATGGTTTTATTACTCGGAGGCTATGTCGTTGCCAGACATCGCTGAACATCCACTTTGCCAAAAGCTATTGGGATAAATGTGAAATAGGTTTTGAGTGTTGTTATATCATTAAAACAACAAGACCCTTTCGTCATACCCATAGAATCTTACTTCAAACTCAACGAAACCATTCTCATGTCAACGAAAAGTATAAACACAAGACCAGGCGTACTGGGCAAGTGTCTTCTGCTTATCAACATCTGTCATTCCAACCTCGGTAGATGAGATTAACTTCACCTTCTCAAGTCATAACAGAGTTAACAACAACGAAACCTTGAACAAGCACTTGACATATTTAACTTCTTATCGCACAAGGAAATGGAATATTTCCGGATGAGATTGCGGTGACGGTGATCAAAATACCGCCATACTAGTCAAAATACAGCACGAAAATCACGATGTCGTTAACGAACACATGAATGGACAGCCATCACTATACAGAAATCATCAAAGGTGCCAAATAAGGAAATGGACAGTTATACGTTTCTGCCAGGTGGGAAGCTGTACGCGTTGTTAGGCCATAATACGAAGAAAGATAACTCCTATATAAAATCTACTTTTCTCTCCCTCTAAATCGACTCAAAATTTGATTTATTTTTATGTCTTAGTATCTTTCGGTATAAAATTCCGAATGACATATTTTAAACTGTGCTAGAACGAATTACTCTTTCCAGCGGGTGACCCTGGTATCATGCATGGAGTGAAGTACAGTATAGTTACGTATTGCTGTTCAAATCGCCATACTTTTACATCTAAATATCAGGTTTAAACATCATGACCAATATCTGTACTCTTTGCAAATCCCTTGTCCCAAATACAAAAACCTTATTTCGTTAAGACTTTTCAATATAGTTTCTTTTTTACATTTTCCACTACAATGTCCTTATCAATACTTCAGACATATCCTTGACCCAATTCTTTTCCAGTTCACGAGTTTTAATCCAAGAAGACTTTTTCATAACTCAATATTGTTTGCATCACCTAGTTTTCCATTAAAAAAAATCCTTTCTTAGTTGCCTTTGGAGTGAATGTTCTTCATATTTCACATTGTTATGACTTGATCTAATCTAATTTCTTTTTTCTTTTCAATACAGAAAATTGTTTCAAGTTACTGAGAAAAATGTTAGGTGTTAACTATTTTTGATAAAGAGAGGAGGAAGAGAAGAGGGAGAGGAAGAGGGAGAGGAGGAGGAGGGAGAGAAGGTGAAGAGGGAGAGGAGGAGGAGGAGGGAGAGAAGGTGAAGAGGGAGAGGAGGAGGAGGGAGAGAAGGTGAAGAGGGAGAGGAGGAGGAAGAAAGGCGGAAGAGATACATCAAGTTTAAAATTTTGATGGGGGATATGTAGTTCTTTATGTTCATGTCAAAGTGGTATAATTTTGGATTCTTTCATAAAACTTTCTGAGAAGTTCTGGTAAAATTCACTAATCTTCATTGAATTAAACAAACCAGAACACTTTAGCTGTATTCAGATATTTATTTTAGCTATATACTGACACCTGGAATCAATGAGCAGTTTTAGGAAATAGAAACATCTTTGGATCTACTTGAGATTAGCAAACAATATAATCTACAGCACTAACTGGCTACATTGGAAGCCATTTTGAACAAAATATGAAGTATAAAATCCCAACACAAAATTTATCATCCTCAATAACAAAGGCTTCATATGAAATGACTAACATGCAAATAAGATATTACTGTACAACCCTCCAGAACGAAAAATATTTTCTTGCCAGGTTGAAAATGCCCAAGAATTCCTGAAAGCTAAAGTAAACATTATAAGACCAAATTCCAGGATTTTTTTTTCAATACTACCAACAAATGAATATTATATGTTTCTTCTATATACATTTTGTATACAGACACATTCATTACAAATACCTCAGAATATCACTGTATTATACCACGCTTCTTTAAATACGGACTACGATACAAGGGCTGGCATCTGTCACAGTAACCAATCAAAACCACGCTTCTTTAAATACGGACTACGATACAAGGGCTGGCATCTGTCACAATAACCAATCAAAACAATCCAGAGATCATTTGTTGGTTTATATCACTGTGTAGTATACCTAACGGTTCTTGCTTTCTGTTCTGTTGTCTTTTTTTTTAACTTATATTAACACATATTAAAAAGCAAGTCACCATCTAAATATTCCACCAAATGACAAGTTTATGTTCCATTTGATTACAATCATCACAATATCGTAGGTCCATGTTCATACTGCAAGTTTGTTAATTTCTTCCACTAATCGGTGGCCGTATTCTTTCCAGTTGATGGGGTTGGCATTCACACATATCGTCTTCAATCTGGTTTCATCCTAATGATAAGAAAATGAAATTAAATCATTCATTTAATTATATTGAAACGCAAGAGGCTGCATATACAAAATGTCTTCCTGTCATTTAGTTGGTGATATGGTTAACTGGACAAAAACCCTCCCCCCCCCCAATCAATACCCATTACATCTGACAGTGTACAATGAATGCAAAATTATATCATATCATAAGGTCATTTTGAACATTGTTGAAGGAGATCCTCACAAGCTATGAAAATGTTATGATTGTCTCCTTTCCACTCATGTATCATGGCAAGATAAAATAATGGACGATCTACAGTAACAGGGTATGTATTTTACTTGAGAAGCTTTCAGTAACAATAACTGAAAATGTATTTTACTTGAGAAGCCTTCAGTAACAATAACTGAAAATTTTCTAACATATAACTCAGAGATTGTGACAAATTTATTTCAGAAATTGGTAACTTACATTGTATGTTTCCATTTTTGCCCTTAGCTTAAATATGTAGGGCTTAAACATGGCATCTTGAAACACTTGATCAAAAGAAGCTTCATCCTGAAAATAGAAACATTTGATAAGCCAGATCATCTTCAGGGAGTAGCTCACAAAGCCTTATAGTTCTAGAAAGTGGTAATCATTCCCATCATGTCCATTATTGCACCATGCTCCTCCCACCCCAGGGGGTCACAACCTTAATCATTCCCATCATGTCCATTATTACACCATGCTCCTCCAACCCCAGAGGGACGCAACCTAACATCTATACAAGATTAATTCCCTTTCATTCAAAAATGCTTCAGACTCAATTTGGGCAATATCACATTCCTTCCTACAGGAGAAGTATTTTAATGAATTGACTCTATTTTCCCTATTTGGCCCCCCTACTCCTGCCTCAAGGCACAGAGGCCTAACGTTTATACCAGGGCTCCCACACTTTTCAACACGCAAAATTTAAGGCTTTTTCCAGGTCATGTCCTGTTTTTCAAAAGAATTTTCCTGGTTTATATCAAATTGTCAGTAAGGGCACACATTAAATATGAAACCATCTCAGACTTGGAAAAACAAAATTTAAAGACTGAATATTTATCAAGGTGGATGGAATATAGTACATATTATCATCATTCGTTATGTGTTATATTTTATGAGATCATTAGAGTGTGAAAGTCGGTTGGAGCTATTTCATTGTTCTTTTGAAAAACGGTGATCCAGGCAACCCATTTCGGATGTCATGAGGGGCTGAACGAGGAATTTTCAAATGTCAGACATGATGCAATAATTAAACTTAATTGTTCAGGGCTTAACCACACAGTTCTTAAGAAAATGGATACAAGCACAGATTGGGGTGATGGCTATCATTCTGATACTGAGGGAATCCACATGACCTGGAGAGTGATATATTGTTATAGTTATGTCTATCCCTGGAATAATCAAAACAGTACTATTTCCAATTTCTCTTCTGGATAGTTCTACCAGCAAGTACATGATTTACCAGATCTGTGTCAGTGCAGTGTTTGAATCATGCTTGAAGACCAGAAAGTACTTTTGCCATTTTCAAAAGATTTCCCCATTTTCATGGCAGCATTGAAACCCTGTTAGACAAGACTGATTCCCCTTTGCTCAAGAATGCTTCAAACCAAATTTGGGCAAAATCCATTTATTCCAACAATATGATTTTTCCTATTGTGCCTCACTCACCCCTCAGGCCCCAAGTGGGCTGAACCCATATTTATAAAAATAAATTTCCCTTCACCCAACGATGCTTCAGACCAAATTTGAACAAAATCCAATCATTCCTCCTGTGTTTATTGTCTGCCATATTTGTATGCCACAGAAGTGTTATATTTGTCCAATATAAATGACAAACCTGCATCTCTTTATGTAAGCACCTAAAATTTTGTGTGATACCTTGATTCTTAGACACTCACCGAGTCCTTCATGTCACCCAGTTCCTGAGCATTTTTCCCCAACAATAGCTCAGCAGATTCTTGGAAACATGTCACCCACTGGTTGTCAGAGAAGTCAGCAAGGTTGGCCTGGAATAAGATTAACATGAAGGTAGACATTCTTCACTCCATTAAACAGAAGGTTCTTCACTCCATTAAACAGTTATCAATGCCTAAATGTTTAGTTTTTCCAACAGAACATAATCATGTCTTAGCCTAGCATAAACAAATAAACCAGATTCATAGACCTCTTTTGTGTTCACATATCAGATGATTTGGCAATCTATGTGAACAGAGCTGTGTGAAAGCACATTTGGAGAGTCATTATCATGGTGGAGTACATGGTAGAAAAGAGCTGTTTTCACAGTCAAATCTCATTCCTATCTGGTGAAATGGTTTACTGGGAGTTGAAAAGCAGCTAGATTGTGAACAAGCCTTACTTACATATGACATTGCTTCTTCTGCATATAGGAGCAGAAGTTGAGTCCTATTATTGAAGTAAAAAAGTCAAGGACAAAGATGTGAAGCATGAGAGCATCCTAAACTTTTGTCTGATTATACGGAGGGCATATCACAAACCATACTAAACTATACTCAAAGAAACTATCTAGGAAAAAGAGTATAAGGCAAATGTATACACAAATCTTATCTATACAGATTGTCCTTAGTCAATCTTAAAGCAAGGACAAATGAGGAAATCCAATATTTGACCGTCATGAACTTACAGACAAAATCATCCTCCACTTGAAATTTGGGAATTCTCTGGAACATTTTTCACACCTGAACATGCCATTGCCTTGGTCAATCAGTTTTTTATTGCAGCTTTCTGTTGGACAGGCCTAAAAACAGAACAAATCTGAAGTCACATACAAACTTTGCTACAAGTTTTGAAACTTCCAGTTAAAATGATGATACTGTAGGATTGCCCTGATTCAAACATACATCTATAAGACCTATGGCAGTCATTACCCTTTGTAATATATTTCTGCATTGAAAAGTTCACATCATAAAAGTAACTTTACTTTGTATTAAATTCTATAAGAAGTAATAAAAAGGTTGCAAAGATTGGGATAAATATTGTATACATACAAATATCTAACACAAAATAAACTCCTACATTATTTCCACTGTATATAATCTAATTAATATTGTTTCCTTTTTTTTGCCATTCATTTGGCAGACAAGTTCGTTTTCACACCTTGTACATGCAGTTCTCCTTCCTGAGGAATATCACAGTTCCTTTAGAAGTGAAGTAGTCTGCCTTCTCCCCACCACCAATATTCTGAGACTTGACATCAGCAAATGTCATCCAATTAGTACCGCTTCCTGTGTATTTAATTAAACAGATATGAGCAAAAGGCTGCAGAAACAGATTTGTATATGGAATTTCACAACATAAGCTGGTGTATTATGTCTAACCATGGTTTTCACTACTGAGTTGACACCCTACTCCTTACTCAGATATCCTCTGCCAGGGAACACATTAAAGACATATCACCACAAGCTCTTTTACATGTACATATCTTTTGAAGTTGTCCATGTAAATCTAGATATGACTTAGAGATAGCCTGACAGTAATAAGAAAGCTAAATCAATTTGATCTACTTTAAAATTTATATATTAATCTCTATAAAAGCCAAAAAGACTTAAATGATAATAGAAAGATTTTAAGGATCAAACAAATAAGTTAAACAAGAATACAATAGGCTATAGGATCACACTTCCCTGAGGATTTTAATACCTTTTGTAATGCAGTCGAAATCAACAACTTATTGGTAATTCGTTAAATTTTGAAAATTATTTTATTGAAAATGGGAAAATGTTTTAATTTTGTTCACCTGATCCACTGCCACCTTCACCCCGGAAGCTCTGGAACTCCATTCCTTGTCCCTCTGAGTCAAACCAACTCCTCAGTTGAAAGGCAACCTTGAGGTCAGTGGGGTTCATTACCACCTGACTACTGGCTAATACAGATAATGACCTTCCTCCGAAGTCTGACAGACGTGCTCCCTTCACAGCCATGATTGGGTGACCATCACCACTAAATGTCACAGCCTGATACAGAAAATAATTTCATTTTAGAAAGCATGATACTAGATTTTCAAGTTGTTTTTCCCCCTATGGAATCTTTTCCCATGTACCTAAAAAGTTACTTGCCCTCACAATACATTTTTGAAGAAAGCATTTCAATGGATTTAATACTTCAGAACTTTTTCAAGTGATCCTGTCATAATATGATAGCTATGACAACATAATATGATAGCTATGGCAACATAATATGATAGCTATGACAACATAATATGATAGCTATGGCAACATAATATGATAGCTATGACAACATAATATGATAGCTATGGCAACATAATATGATAGCTATGACAACATAATATGATAGCTATGGCAACATAATATGATAGCTATGGCAACATAATATGATAGCTATGGCAACATAATATGAAAGCTATGACAACATAATATGATAGCTATGACAACATAATATGATAGCTATGGCAAAAGAATATAATGGCTATGGCAACATAAAAGTTACAGAAAATTACAATTCTTAATTGAGAGACAGGTAGCATCTGATAGACTTTCATCCTAGCATGCTGCAGAAAAAATGTTATGACCCATTGCCTCTAGACTGCTTAATAACTTAAAACCAATATTTGAACACTAACAAAGTTACGGAAATTCTTGGTAATTAATGATCCAACCAATAAGTGTTTAAGTGACCATCCAACTGATAACTATTTTACAACAGATTAATCAACAATAAACCTAGCTATGCCTTATTACCTTATCTGACATCAGTGTGGTTGTTTATAACAGTAAGTGTTTAAGTGACCATCCAACTGATAACTATTTTACAACAGATTAATCAACAATAAACCTAGCTATGCCTTATTATCAAATCTGACATATGTGTGGTTGTTTATAACAGAATAATTCATTGGATCAAACAATCTGAGGTATGAAGTACAATGTGATGACTTACATCATTTCCCCACAGTGTCAAGTTGACAGCCATGCCAGACTGGTCGACTATGGATATGTCCCTCTTTGTGATTTCCTTCTGACTCTGTCTCCCAGTCACTGTTCCTACCTCATTGCAGCTCTTTACTACTCCTATCACATCTACAGGTCCACAGAACAACACCAAAAGCATAGAATTCATGTTCTAACAAAGCACAATCACTTGTAGTATCAGATGTTTTATTAAAGTGTAGTTAGTCATTCTGACTTTCTAAATTGTTTGACAATTAAATCTCACATCAAAATCAGACAAAATAATGACTTCCTGTTCCAAGATTTCCCTACAATGAGTCATTGAATAACTTACCCACTAAGGAGTTAGCTGCTTTACTATCAAGTTCATTGAGAGCAACAAATTGAAATTTAATGCCAGGTAGATCTACTTCCTCTGTACAAGGCTCTATCACTGTGTCCTGATTAAAGGTCATCTCATAGTCATTCTGTACATTGCTGTACTGTTTATTGGCTGTCTTGAGTGTTCCTCTGCTCACATAGTAAACCTTCAATAGTAATTACGATTCATCATTAAAAGTCCTACCTACTCTTCACTGTTCGATGTGATATTATTTTATTAAACCTCTTCTCATATCATTATGGAAGTCATACCACAAACCCTCCCCAAACACCAGTAGATATATAATACTAGTAACAGTATTCAGTCATATGTAAATTAACAGGAACTTTGAGATTCATAACATTTACCAATACCTACTATTTTAAAACTTGCACATTTAAATTGAACTCATATCTAAATAAATTATCCAACAAACACTACATCTTGTTTGTGAAGACCATACCTTATTCATTTCCAGCATTTCATAGTATTTGTCTACAGCCTCATTGAAACCTGTTGCTCGTATTTCTCCAGACTCATCTGTGAAATTCACACTGAACAGCTTTCCCTCACCCCGTGAATTACTCCATGTCCGTATGCTACCTTTCTGTGTTATTCTCGCCCTGATTCTCCATCTACAAGTCACAGTAATCCAGTCTTAAACTTTTATAAAAAAAGAAACAAGTTAATATAGGATCCCGGATGTTTATACTGTTAAGTCAAACACCTTTACATACTTAACATTAATTCATCAAGACAAATGTCAAAATTAAAATAAAATTAACAAAAATTAATTTGATCAAATGAACAGTTTTGTACTTGTGTCCCTTACAAGAGTTCTTTTTATACAACAGAATAAATAAAATGTGCAATTTGTTTGCTTCTTCATAATGCATTTGAACAATTGTCTTCGTTACAATAAATATCCAAGTAATAAAAAAAAAGAAAGTTCTAAGAAATGTGCTTTACCTGTTCTGATAGGGTGTGAGGGATGAGATGGTGTGAACACGATTGCTGCCAGGTGTTGATGGTGTAGAAGACCCCTTCATACTGTAGTTACCTCCTTTGTTGGCGTTTCCTGCAGGGAATATCAGTCTGTTTTTAAACTTATTATGTAAAAGCCAATCATGAAGACAGTGCTTTATCTATATTTATCATTAGCATAATGTCACAATGTCTGTCAGCCAATATAGCATCAATTCTAAACAATTACTTTAGGACACTAGAGAATTATAACTACATTCCTATATCTTCTACTGCAATTCCTCAGCATTATTAACAGACAAATTTCCTAAATTCAGGTTACTTTTTGGTAGCCATACTGCCTGATAATTCTTTTTAATTTTTCCTGTAATATTGACTATGGATGATACCGTGAACCTTTTATTTGACAAGTAAGTGATATTGCTTCCAAAACTTAATGTTTCCTTCTCTGTTCATTGTATCACATCAATATCGTATCATAAAGTCAGTATCCTACTGTGTAGATACCAGACTTACTTATGTCAATATATATCTATTGATAGCTGGACAGCCTGGTTACTCGAATGCATTCCCTACTATTTCTGTGTAAAGTACCAGTGACTATATATGTTACATGGTTTTATACAGGATAATCATTCTTCTTTCAGTACCTTTGTATGGGTTTGCTGGTGGTGACTGCTTGATGGTGTTTGGCTTCTGATTCCCAATACCTGATGCACAAACAAAAATGTTTCATTAGGTTGTAAACATGGTCCAATGAAGATATGTTTTCTGCACAATACTTCTTGCTTGTACAGAAGTTTATGTTCAGCAGAATATACATGGACCACATAGGATACCATTATAAGAGTGATAACTTTGATACAAGTTTTACAAAACAAACTGTGATTAGGCGAAGATTGTGATGTCCTATTTCCAACCCTAGCACTGTGACATCATAGAAAGGTAAGTAGAGTGATTATTGCCAGTTTAGATCTGTATCATCCTAAAAATACTCCAGCAGTCACAAACAATTTTGCTCTCTGCACCCCTGGAACATGTCCGGACATAATCATCATAATTCCATAGTATAATAAGTGTTCAATGGATTTTCTATTTTAGTGAACATTTTCCTCCTTAAAGCATTCTTAAAATACTTATGAAAGCTATGATTCATTCCAGAGTTCTTTTCATCTGAATCATAAGTGCTATTAAAATTTTCTCCACAAATTTTTAAACAAAAACACGCAAGATTTGTGTCTTCTCGCAGATGAAAAAATTGTTCAAAGACCTCTGGTATTGTGACCCATCTATGTAAAAGATCAAAGCCAGAACTTGACCGATCACAACCAGACTTACCCTTGTAATTTTGACCGCCTGATTCCTGCTTGGGAATCTGGGGAGGAGGTTGTGCAGAGTCTGAAAAGACACAGAAATAAAAAACCCTTTAAAACCAAAGTTATAAAGAACAACAGTACCTATACATAGTACTTATGTAAAAAAAGCTTGACACATGATCCTCTGATATCTAAGCATTAGAGTCTTTCAGTATCATATAAAAGAAACAAGAGGCGCTTGTTGAGAAGAAGTCGTTTGTATATTTTAACATATTTGACCCCTGTGACCTTGAAAGTGGGTTGAGGTTATTCATTTGAATAAACTTGGTAGCCTTTCCTCCCAGCATGCTACAGACCCAATATCGGCACTCATAGACTTTTGCTTATTGAGATGAAGTCCTTTGTATATTTTAACATATTTGACCCCTGTGACCTTGAAAGTGGGCCAAGGTCATTCATTTGAACAAACTTTGTAGGGCTCCATGCCCGCATGCTATGGGCCAAGTATTAGCCCCCTAGGCCTTCTAGTATTTGAGAAGAAGTTATTTAAAGATTTTGACATATTTGACCCCTGCGACCTTGAAAGTTGTTCAAGGTCATTCATTTAAATAAACTTGGTAACCTTTCCTCCCAGCATGCTACAGACCCAATATCGGCACTCATAGACTTTTGCTTATTGAGATGAAGTCCTTTGTATATTTTAACATATTTGACCCCTGTGACCTTGAATGTAGGCCAAGGTCATTCATTTGAACAAACTTTGTAGGGCTCCATGCCAGCATGCTATGGGCCAAGTATTAGCCCCCTAGGCCTTCTAGTATTTGAGAAGAAGTTATTTAAAGATTTTGACATATTTGACCCCTGTGACCTTGAAAGTTGTTCAAGGTCATTCATTTAAACAAACTTGATAGCCCTTCATCCCAGCATGCCACAGGCACAATATCAGCAATCTGAGCCTTTTGGTTATTGAGAAGAAGTTGTTTAAATATTTTAACATATTTGACCCCTGTGACCTTGAAAGTGGGCCAAGGTCATTCATTTGAACAAACTTTGTAGGGCTCCATGCCAGCATGCTATGGGCCAAGTATTAGCCCCCTAGGCCTTCTAGTATTTGAGAAGAAGTTATTTAAAGATTTTGACATATTTGACCCCTGTGACCTTGAAAGTTGTTCAAGGTCATTCATTTGAAGAAACTTGGTAGCCTTTCCTCCCAGCATGCTACAGACCCAATATCGGCACTCATAGACTTTTGCTTATTGAGATGAAGTCCTTTGTATATTTTAACATATTTGACCCCTGTGACCTTGAAAGTGGGCCTAGGTCATTCATTTGAACAAACTTTGTAGGGCTCCATGCCAGCATGCTATGGGCCAAGTATTAGCCCCCTAGGCCTTCTAGTATTTGAGAAGAAGTTATTTAAAGATTTTGACATATTTGACCCCTGCGACCTTGAAAGTTGTTCAAGGTCATTCATTTAAATAAACTTGGTAGCCTTTCCTCCCAGCATGCTACAGACCCAATATCGGCACTCATAGACTTTTGCTTATTGAGATGAAGTCCTTTGTATATTTTAACATATTTGACCCCTGTGACCTTGAAAGTGGGCCAAGGTCATTCATTTGAACAAACATTGTAGGGCTCCATGCCAGCATGCTATGGGCCAAGTATTAGCCCCCTAGGCCTTCTAGTATTTGAGAAGAAGTTATTTAAAGATTTTGACATATTTGACCCCTGTGACCTTGAAAGTTGTTCAAGGTCATTCATTTAAACAAACTTGATAGCCCTTCATCCCAGCATGCCACAGGCACAATATCAGCAATCTGAGCCTTTTGGTTATTGAGAAGAAGTTGTTTAAAGATTTTAACATATTTGACCCCTGTGACCTTTAAAGTGGTTCAAGGTCATTCATTTGAACAAACTTGGTAGTCCTTCATCCCAGCATGTCACAGGCCCAATATCTACACTCTGAGCCTTTTGGTTAATGAGAAGAAGTTGTTTAAAGATTTTAACATATTTGACCCCTGTGACCTTTAAAGTGGGTCAAGGTCATTCATTTGAACAAACTTGGTAGTCCTTCATCCCAGCATGTCACAGGCCCAATATCTACACTCTGAGCCTTTTGGTTAATGAGAAGAAGTTGTTTAAAGATTTTAACATATTTGACCCCTGTGACCTTTAAAGTGGGTCAAGGTCATTCATTTGAACAAACTTGGTAGAGCTCCATGCCAGTATCCTCTGTGCCAAGTATTAGCCCCCTAGACCTTCTAGTATTTGAGAAGAAGTCGTTTGAATGAAAAGTTTACGGACGGCGCACGGCGCACGGCGGACGGCGCACGGCGCACGGCGGACGACGACGGACGAAGCATGATGACTATAGGTCATCGGACCCTTCGGGTCCAGATGACCTAAAAATATTCTTGGAGACCAATGCTTTACCTCTAGTGCTGTAGAAGATGACATCAGAGCTGGTAGTAGTTCTTCAAACTCACTCAAATAGGTCCTTGGGTTCCATGCTAGAATCTGACATTCAATAAAAACATAAAATAACTTCCAATGTCTTTTACAATCCATACTCTTGCATTTACTGTCATGCTGCTTAATATAATGATGCTTAATATCACCATATCATATTGGTATACAGTTACTAATCATGATATATGATGAAGGAAAAGACAAATATCAAGTAATACTACATTTATATATATCATGTTATACCACAAAGATAAAGATAATATTATAATGATATATATCATGTTATACCACAAAGATAAAGATAATATTATATTGATATATATCATGTTATACCACAAAGATAAAGATAATATTATATTGATATATATCACGTTATACCACAAAGATAAAGATAATATTATAATGATATATATCATGTTATACCACAAAGATAAAGATAATATTATATTGATATATATCATGTTATACCACAAAGATAAAGATAATATTATATTGATATATATCATGTTATACCACAAAGATAAATATCATACCAAATCGTATTAAATGACAATGATGATGATATACATATTATATATATATATCTATCACAACCAATCAATACTTTTTCTGTGAACTATGTTGAATATGACTCTCAACCAAACCTTAAAGATGTTGGGGAAGAAAGTGGTGAGGATTTGAGTGTTGTGACACAAAGCCTCTAGATTCTGTCGCAGGAACATGACCATGTCAAACATCAAAGCATTGTCCATGAAACTCTGAGAGAGCACTGTGTGAAAGATGAGCCTGTAGGCTTCCTGAGGGTCATGTAGCACTGCCTTACCTTTAACAAAAACACACCAGTTGGTAAGTTTTGTCAACAACTGTCCTCAAAAAATATGTTCCTGTATCCTTAATGTTTAATCTTTGTTACTTCACTTATACAAATTGCTCTTTTCAATTAAGCTGAGAGGGGTTTGTTTATGACCTCAATTCACACAAAAATGCAAATTTGAAAGGCAATTTATCTTTATAAGTTATAATTTCACAAGCGTTAATAACAAAAATGTGGAAAAAGCCTAGATTTCTAAATCATTTATTGAATAACTTTTAATAAGTCTTACAAAAATGAAATACACAAATAAAAAACTATAAGTACACTTACTATGGTTCATATAGAATTGTAAGATGGGTAGCAATAGGCGAGACTTGCCTAAGTCTTGGGAAAGTCTGTTGTATAGGTGACGCATTTCCTGGAATACCTTGGATATCTGACCCGTGTCAATCTTACAAACAAGGTCAAGGACATTCACTGTCTCAAGTAAACACTGAAATAAGGTCAAGGACAGTCAAAGTCTCAAGTACATGCTGAAATAAGGTCAAGGACATTCACATACTAAATCTGACAGTATAATAAAATCAAGGACATTCAAGTATTAAGTTTATAATCAAAAATCAATTATGTTAAAAATCTTGTTTGATAAAGTTTGAATATGTTGAAAGTCTGTGATGAAAGTATGATTGAAATCCAGTCTTTTTATAAATATGTTGAAAGTAGAGTTGATGATGAAGTCTAGTCCTTGTTTGAAGAATTAAAATTTTTGATATATGTATCTATTTATACAATACACATGTAAATTATATACTAAACATGTAAACAGTGTGGTAAGCATTTACAGTAACCAGGCCTTTACAATGCTAAAGTTCAGGTGAAGAGTTGTGCTAACTCAGGCAGACTCTCTTGATCTCTCTGTGTACTTAGATGTTAACCAAGAGGTCCAGAGGGCCTGTATCGCTCATATGAATCTTTATGACCAACAGTACTATATCTGTGCATATGTTCCACCTTAGATGCTTAAAGCAATATGACAAATTACTGCATATGGGTTCTGTCACTTAGTAGTCAGCCCCCTCACCTGTGCAATGTTGAATTGAGACTTTCTTACGCTGTTTCCATTTAAATATAACTGACAGCTTTCTTTTAAATCAAGGAAAGAAGATGGTCAAATAATATAGCAGAAAAACTCTTAGTTATAGCTGGACGGAACAGTGTGACATCACTGTGAAAGGTATTTATAATTTATTCAAAATTATGCCAAGAAAATTTCCAGCCAAATATATCCCTTTAATAAGTAATTGGAAGGTTCTACATATTTGTACACAAGCCTTTGTGAAACTTTTAACTGGCCAAATATGACAGCCTTTGGTCAATTAGAAGTTGTTAATGATTTTACCAAATTTAACCCCAGTGACCTTAAATATTTTCATGGGTCAAGCTATTTTTTCACACACTATGTGGGCATTATAAAGGGAACCTTTGGCCAACTATTATGATTTTAGGCCTTTTGGTTAAGCAGAAGTTGTTCAAAGGTTTAATGCATTAGACCATTGAGACCTTGAATATGGGTCAAGGTCATTTAATTTCTCAAATATTATTGGGCATCATTGAGAACCTATCCTAGATATTTGGTTAGTCAGAAAAAGATGTTTAAAGGTTTAAACACATTTGACCCCTGTGATCTTGAAGATTGGTAAAGGTCATTTCTTTTAGCAAACTTTGTAGGACACCAGAAGAGGAACATGGTAGCCTAATATAATGATTCTAGGCCTTCCGGTATTTGAGGAGAAGTTGCTTAAAGGTTTTAACACATTTGACCTCTGTGACCTTGAATATAGGTCAAGGTTATTTTTTTTTTTTGCAAACTTTGTTGGGCTTCATCAAAGGAACCTTCCAGCCAAATATAATGATTCTAGGCCTTCCAGTATTTTGAAAAAAGTCGTTTAAATGTTTTACCATATTTGACCTCTGTGACCTGGAATATGAGACAATGTCATTTCTATTCGCAAACTTTGTTCGACTTCATCAAAGGAACCTTCCAGCCATATATAATGATACTAGGCCTTCCAATATTTGGGGAAAGTCGTTTAAAGGTTTTAACACATTTGACCTCTGTGACCTTGAATATAGGTCAAGGTTATTTTTTTTTGCGAACTTTGTTCTGATTCATCACAAGAACCTTCCTGCCAAATATAATGATTCTAGGCCTTCCAGTAGTTTGGAAGAAGTCATTTAAAGGTTTTAACACATTTGACATCTTTGACCTTGAATATGGGTCAAGGTCATTTCTTTTTACAAACTTTGTTGGGCTCCATCAAAGGAACCTTCCAGCCAAATATAAGCTATATAGCCAAAGGGCCTTTACTTCTAATATACTGATTAGAAATATTTTTATTAGCTTTTCCAAATAAATCAATTACTTAAAGATAACATAATAATGGATCAAGATCCCATTGATTAGTTGTACAGAAGATTGGGCCCAAACAAGCTTTTTTTTTTATGTAGGTCAGAGGTCAAAACATAGATCAGAGTGACCTACTTTTGATATGCAACTTACAGTCTCACAAAGGTTAATCAATATCCCATGTTTAAAATGTATGATGTGAATATAAGTACTCTGTGATTTATGATGTGATGACCTACCATTATCATACAGCTGATTTTTATTTTGTCTGAAATTAAATAGATGTTCAAGTTTGTTTAACTTCATTAATGAGTACACAAACAATGTTACCCTTCAGTGATCTCTATGTATAAATAAAGATTATAAACAAACAATTGACATGGGACTACCTATCACTGTTCTTAACTGAGTATTGATTCCATTTGACCTTGACAGTATATTTTTGACTTTAAGAATACAAAATTTTACTTACAGCATTCTGTAAATCCTGGTCAGACTGAACTTTAGGTTCTGTAAGAGAAATGGTCTTTTACACTTTTTACTGTATATATACTCATACATACAAACCCCAGTGGTGACTTACTGGTAACCTGTTATTCACACTTCTTCTTGAGCTCTAAGTTAGCATAAAAAAATGACATTCAACAGAAAAATTTGCATTTACACTGAAAACTAAAAGTGTGATTTCTTGTTATGCTTATAGCACGAGTTGGCTTACTTCTGTCACACTGGTCAAGGATTCTGAAGCAGTAGTCAATGGACTTGTTGACCAGGACATCAAATACTCTGTGTGCTGGTGATGAAGTAGAGCTTACATGAGAGCGGTCACTCTCTGCAGCTGACGACGAGGCCTCCACAGTAAAACATTGGTGTAACCATTTATACAGTAAAGAAAAACTGTAGATATTCAGGAATTGGTCCTCTGTGTAATACTGACCTGTGGTATATATAAACAACGTCTCAACAGTTGTCATGGATATGATTGTGTTCATATCAACAAAGCAAAGAAAAAAACAGATTGGATTATGGGAAACCATTATTAAACAGATGTATAGTGTTGACTACTACCAATGAACAAGGAAAATTAAAATTTGTGAATATAAACAATGAAAAACCATTAAAATATTAAATTAAAAAAAAACAAATTGCAACCAGAACAATAATTTTAATAAATCTATTATGTTTAGAATTATAAATCATGTAAAATTCCAGTAATGTGGATTCTTGTTTTAAATATTTTAATATTTAGCACATTTCATCAGTTATATATAGTATTTCATTATATTTCAATCAAATAGTGATATTGGTGTCGCAAATTCATCAAATATACAGGTAAAAAATATAGGTAAAATATATAGGTAAAATATATAGGTAAAATGAAGTAGGTAAAATATATAGGTGAAATGAAGTAGGTATTTCATAAACTACCAATTCTTAATGATTTAACATAAATTTACCAATATTGAGAACAGTGAAGAAATTTCGGCTTGGTGTGCCATCAACCTCCGTTACCACACTGTTCTGGTCCTTCTTGAATATTTTCATTTTGTATGGGTTGGGGGCCTGTTGTAAACTGGCCAACATCATCCATTTTGAAATGCTTCTACTACAGTCTTTTATATTGCCTGCAAAACGAGGACACAGGAAGTCTATGACTGAGGTATAAGTATGGTCTACGAGTACAGCTAAAACTAATTTTTAGCATGGCAGATTTCAGCTACTTTCATATAACTTGTGGGATGATGCAGTTTAAATGTTGGATGACAAGGACAAGTAAGGATTGGGACAGGAGACTGATGTCATGCAAGGGCAGGGTCAGAGTGTAAGGTCTTGCAGTGTCTGTTCACAATTAATGGCTGACTAATGCTAGTCAGCAGAATTTCAGAATAAAACAAGGCAAATGTAAATGGATATTTCAGGAAAGAAAAACAAACATAAAGATACTTTTTTGTAATCGCAATCATCTCAATCAGCTCATGAAAGTAGCCAAAATATGTTAAATTATGGCTACTTTCAAAAAGACACAGGAAACACATTTTCTAATGCTGCTTATACACTGAGAAACACACATTCACCAATGCTTCTACATCGAGAAAAACACTTTCATCACTGCTTCTACATCGAGAAAAACACTTTCATCAATGCTTCTACATCGAGAAAAACACTTTCATCAATGCTTCTACATCGAGAAAAACACTTTCATCACTGCTTCTACATCGAGAAAAACACTTTCATCACTGCTTCTACATCGAGAAAAACACTTTCATCACTGCTTCTACATCGAGAAAAACACTTTCATCACTGCTTCTACATCGAGAAAAACACTTTCATCACTGCTTCTACACTGAGAAACACACATTCACCAATGCTTCTACATCGAGAAAAACACTTTCATCAATGCTTCTACATCGAGAAAAACACTTTCATCACTGCTTCTACATCGAGAAAAACACTTTCATCACTGCTTCTACACTGAGAAACACACATTCACCAATGCTTCTACATCGAGAAAAACACTTTCATCAATGCTTCTAAATCGAGAAAAACACTTTCATCACTGCTTCTACATCGAGAAAAACACTTTCATCACTGCTTCTACACTGAGAAAAACACTTTCACCAATGTTTCTACATCGAGAAAAACACTTTCATCACTGCTTCTACACTGAGAAAAACACTTTCATCACTGCTTCTAAACTGAGAAAAACACTTTCATCAATGCTTCTACATCGAGAAAAACACTTTCATCAATGCTTCTACATCGAGAAAAACACTTTCATCAATGCTTCTACATCGAGAAAAACACTTTCATCACTGCTTCTACACTGAGAAACACACTTTCATCACTGCTTCTACACTGAGAAACACACATTCACCAATGCTTCTACATCGAGAAAAACACTTTCATCACTGCTTCTACATCGAGAAAAACACTTTCATCACTGCTTCTACACTGAGAAAAACACTTTCATCACTGCTTCTACACTGAGAAAAACACTTTCATCACTGCTTCTACACTGAGAAAAACACTTTCATCACTGCTTCTACACTGAGAAACACACATTCACCAATGCTTCTACATCGAGAAAAACACTTTCATCACTGCTTCTACACTGAGAAAAACACTTTCATCACTGCTTCTACACTGAGAAACACACTTTCATCACTGCTTCTACACTGAGAAACACACTTTCATCACTGCTTCTACACTGAGAAACACACATTCACCAATGCTTCTACATCGAGAAAAACACTTTCATCACTGCTTCTACATCGAGAAAAACACTTTCATCACTGCTTCTACACTGAAACACACTTTCGTCACTGCTTCTACACTGAGAAACACACTTTCATCACTGCTTCTACACTGAGAAACACACTTTAATCACTACTTCTACACTGAGAAACACACTTTCATCACTGCTTCTACACTGAGAAACACACTTTCATCACTGCTTCTACACTGAGAAAAACACTTTCATCACTGCTTATATACCGAGAAACACACTTTCATCACTGCTTCTACACTGAGAAACACACTTTCATCACTGCTTCTACATCGAGAAAAACACTTTCATCAATGCTTCTACACTGAGACACACACATTAACCAATGCTTCTACATAGAGAAAAACACTTTCATCACTGCTTCTACATCGAGAAAAACACTTTCATCACTGCTTCTACACTGAGAAACACACTTTCATCACTGCTTCTACACTGAGAAAAACACTTTCATCACTGCTTCTACACTGAAAAACACACTCTCATCACTGCTTCTACACTGAGAAACACACTCTCATCACTGCTTCTACACTGAGAAACACACTCTCATCACTGCTTCTATACTGAGAAACATATCTGTATATCTGCCTTGAGAAACATATCTGTATATCTACCTCTACACTGAGAAACATATCTGTATATCTACCTCTACACTGAGAAACATATCTGTATATCTGCCTTGAGAAACATATCTGTATATCTTCTACACTGAGAAAAACATATCTGTATCATCACTGCATATCTACATCTGAGAAACATATCTATATCTGCCTCTACACTGAGAAACATATCTGTATCATCTGCCTCTACACTGAGAAACATATCTGCTTCTACACTGAGAAACATATCTGTATATCTGCCTCTACACTGAGAAACATATCTGTATATCTACCTCTACACTGAGAAACATATCTGTATATCTGCCTTGAGAAACATATCTGTATATCTACCTCTACACTGAGAAACATATCTGTATATCTGCCTTGAGAAACATATCTGTATATCTACCTCTACACTGAGAAACATATCTGTATATCTGCCTCTACACTGAGAAACATATCTGTATATCTGCCTCTACACTGAGAAACATATCTGTATATCTGCCTCTACACTGAGAAACATATACTGAGAAACATATCTGTCTATCTGCCTTGAGAAACATATCTGTATATCTGCCTACTACCTCTACTGAGAAACATATCTGTATATCTGCCTCTACACTGAGAAACATATCTGTATATCTGCCTTGATCTGCTTCTACACTGAGAAACATATCTGTATATCTGCCTCTACACTGAGAAACATATCTGTATATCTGCCTCTACACTGAGAAACATATCTGTATATCTGCCTCTACACTGAACATATCTGTATATCTGCCTCTACACTGAGAAACATATCTGTGTATCTGCCTCTACACTGAGAAACATATCTGTATATCTGCCTTGAGAAACATATCTGTATATCTACCTCTACACTGAGAAACTGCCTCTACACTGACATATCTGTATATCTGCCTCTACACTGAGAAACATATCTGAGAAACATATCTGTATATCTGCCTTGAGAAACATATCTGTATATCTGCCTTGAGAAACATATCTGTGTATCTGCCTCTACACTGAGAAACATATCGGTGTATCTGCCTTGAGAAACATATCTGTATATCTGCCTTGAGAAACATATCTGTGTATCTGCCTCTACACTGAGAAACATATCTGTATATCTGCCTTGAGAAACATATCTGTATATCTGCCTCTACACTGAGAAACATATCTGTATATCTGCCTCTACACTGAGAAACATATCTGTATATCTGCCTCTACACTGAGAAACATATCTGTATATCTACCTCTACACTGAGAAACATATCTGTGTATCTGCCTCTACACTGAGAAACATATCTGTATATCTAAATCTACAATGAGAAACATATGTGTATATCTGCCTCTACACTGAGAAACATATCTGTATATCTGCCTCTACACTGAGAAACATATCTGTATATCTGCCTCTACATATCTGTGTATCTGTATCTGTATATCTACCTCTACACTGAGAAACATATCTGTATATCTGCCTCTACACTGAGAAACATATCTGTATATCTGCCTCTACACTGAGAAACATATCTGTATATCTACCTCTACACTGAGAAACATATCTGTATATCTGCCTCTACACTGAGAAACATATCTGTATATCTGCCTCTACACTGAGAAACATATCTGTATATCTGCCTCTACACTGAGAAACATATCTGTATCTGCTCCTACACTGAGAAACATATCTGTATATCTGCCTCTACACTGAGAAACATATCTGTATATCTGCCTCTACACTGAGAAACATATCTGTATATCTGCCTCTACACTGAGAAACATATCTGTATATCTGCCTCTACACTGAGAAACATATCTGTATATCTGCCTAGAAACATATCTGTATATCTGCCTCTACACTGAGAAACATATCTGTATATCTGCCTCTACACTGAGAAACATATCTGTATATCTGCCTCTGACACTGAGAAACATATCTTTATATCTGCATCTACACTGAGAAACATATCTGTATATCTGCCTCTACACTGAGAAACATATCTGTATATCTGCCTCTACACTGAGAAACATATCTGTATATCTGCCTCTACACTGAGAAACATATCTGTATATCTGCCTCTACACTGAGAAACATATCTGTGTATCTGCCTCTACACTGAGAAACATATCTGTATATCTGCCTTGAGAAACATATCTGTGTATCTGCCTCTACACTGAGAAACATATCTGTGTATCTGCCTCTACACTGAGAAACATATCTGTATATCTGCCTTGAGAAACATATCTGTATATCTGCCTCTACACTGAGAAACATATCTGTATATCTGCCTCTACACTGAGAAACATATCTGTATATCTACCTCTACACTGAGAAACATATCTGTATATCTGCCTTGAGAAACATATCTGTATATCTGCCTCTACACTGAGAAACATATCTGTATATCTGCCTCTACACTGAGAAACATATCTGTATATCTGCCTCTACACTGAGAAACATATCTGTATATCTGCCTCTACACTGAGAAACATATCTGTATATCTGCCTCTACACTGAGAAACATATCTGTATATCTGCCTCTACACTGAGAAACATATCTGTATATCTGCCTCTACACTGAGAAACATATCTGTATATCTGCCTCTACACTGAGAAACATATCTGTATATCTGCCTCTACACTGAGAAACATATCTGTATATCTGCCTTGAGAAACATATCTGTATATCTGCCTTGAGAAACATATCTGTATATCTACCTCTACACTGAGAAACATATCTGTATATCTGCCTCTACACTGAGAAACATATCTGTATATCTGCCTCTACACTGAGAAACATATCTGTATATCTGCCTCTACACTGAGAAACATATCTGTATATCTGCCTCTACACTGAGAAACATATCTGTATATCTGCCTTGAGAAACATATCTGTATATCTGCCTCTACACTGAGAATCATATCTGTGTATCTGCCTCTACACTGAGAAACATATCTGTGTATCTGCCTCTACACTGAGAAACATATCTGTATATCTGCCTCTACACTGAGAAACATATCTGTATATCTGCCTCTACACTGAGAAACATAATTTTATCACTGCTCCTACATAGAAGAAAGACTTTATTTATAACTTCTTTGATAGAGGAAATGTTAATCTTTTGTCACTACTTCAACACAGAGGAAACAAATATCTAAATATGATCTTGTATATTATTTATCATGTCAGTCCACATAACATATCCATATTCTGCAGTAAAACTTGGGGCCAACTCATTATCTCTGACTCCAAATTCAAAGGCATGGGTGGGCTTATTATTGGACATTTAAAGGACATTTGGTAGTTGTTTATTCTACAGAACAAGAATATAAATACAACTGGACTTATTTCCAGGCATGGACATAGTGCCAAATTTATCTTGTACCTTCAGTTAGGAGAAGTCGATGCTGGAGAGACACTGCCACTAGGAAGGAGAATGTCTGTCTCTGTACGATGGGCTCCACATTCTCACCACACATCCACCTACAGGTAAGAACATAAATTGTAGATTATTACAAATCACAGGTTTTGATAGTTAAAGGTTTCATCCAATTTTACATCAGGTTTCATCAGGTAAGTTCAACATATGGAAGACATTTTATTAACACATCAACACCATTCATTATTTTACAGAAACATTTATTACTATAGACAATTTTACCACCAATAATGATTGGAAATGAAACTTGCATATGCCAGACAGACATACAGGTACATATATGTAATGCAGATTATCTTTATTCTGCGAATAATGATTCAGCCTCAACAAAAATCCTTTTACAACTATATATCAAGACATGAATGCTCATTTATAATAAAATGATGTATACATATTCAAAGTGTTTTACAATTTTTCACATTATATGTATACAAATTTCTGAAGCATCTCAAACAAAGATCTAACATCTCTTATTGGTAAATAAATTTATATTACCTGACAGCTTGTGGTATCAGTTTTTCAATGCATCTGTTTTTGTTTCCCTAAAATAAATCACACAAAAGAAATTAAGCAAAATTAAATCAGTGATGAATAAAACATTTTTCTTTACTGTCATAGTGTCGTGTTTCATTTCCTGAGATCATAATTGGTACTACACAATTACTTTGATCTAAAATCAATGAAGATGTACACTCACCTGGATTCGGTACACAGTAAATGAGTTGGCCACAGACTTAGGGTCAACACGCTCGTCCTCTGTGTAGAAATCTGCTCCAAGTTCCTCTCTATCCCTTGGTAACAGTTCTGTCATCATTTGTTCACACAATAAACATTCCTTGGTTTTTTCTCTGTCCATAGAACTCACCATGTTCACCATTGTTGCAATGAACTTTTTTGGTAAGCTGAGAAAAAATTAAAATTTAAAAAAATGATAAACAAATTATTTGTTTCTTTTTAAAATATTTTCACTCTTCATTTATTTCCTGTACAAAAATTTTGAAATCCAGAAGTTTCACTCACTCCTTGTTAAAACTATAGGCCTTGTATAAAGTTGATTGAGCTGACTACTGTGCATAATTTTCAAATCAATTTATGACAAGTGTGGTATTCTAAGTGTGTTTAAAACTTAACATTCCAGCAAATGAGAAGATGACCTATTACATCAATATGTATATAAAGAAATTGAATGATGAGTCCTAGAGTAATGTTGCTTATTTCTAAAACAATATCATTCTGCCAAGAAAAAAATTACCAGTCTTCATTAGTACAATTAGTATATCGCTACATACTGAGACAATGTACTGCAGTGTACTTCAAATATGTGGTACTTTAATAAGTGTAGTTTCACAGAAAACACAATACATGTACCCTAGTATAACTTTATTTTTTGAAAGGTTATCTTGAAAAAAAATCATAATTACTCATCAAGCTATATCATATGCATGTAAACTTTGCAGCACCCCATGAAATTATATTTCACATAGGAAAACAAAAAAATGCAACAGAAGTCATTATTTTTTCAATTTGCTACTAACTTTTGAAACCAGTGGCCTCTGATATACAAGACTAATTATCTACTGAAAGATCTCTATAGCTTTACCAGATGGAAGCAACTAGAAATTTACCAAGGTGACAATAGTGACAAAAACATGAGATAAAAATGTATGAACTATATATTCATGATTGCTTACCATGGCTCTGTCAGTGATACATGCAGGATAAGAAAAAGTTGTCGTAAAAGATTCAAGCTTTCTCCAGACTGCTCTGGAACATAGAGATTGTTGAGGATCCTTGAACAAATACTATCAATTTCTTCTTGAGTAGTGTCTCTAAAAGAAAGAACAAAAAGTAATACACTTATTAGCAAATTTAAGGAGGAAAATATTGGTATAACAAAAGAAAACACAATTACATGCACATATTGTATTCTGCAATTAAATCTCCATTTAGCACAAACAAGTCCTCTATGAACAGTGATGCCAACTTTTCCAAAGCATATTTCTCTGATAGTTACACTTAAAAAAATTGGTTCAATAATAAGATGCATAAAAGAATATACAAAGTTTCATAATAATTCATTAAGTAATATGATAAACATTTTTCATCAAACAGAATATAACAGAAAAACATGTATGTACACAAGTACATTTGTACATGCTCAAAGAGATAGATATGCTATTTCCAATGCAAACTTTCTTGCAATGTAGGTCAATAAATTCATGTTCAACTGTTTTCTTCAGGTTTTTTACATTCTTGGTCACTTGTATCTTATATATCATGTGCATTTAGGATTTTCACTTTCTTCAATATTCTTATTCAGTATTCTTCAATACCAGATACAAGTGGTTGTGATTTATTTGGGATTTTCACTTGAATTTTCAATACCAGATACAAATGCTTGTGATTAATCTAATCATCTTTCCAACAGAAATGAACTATATTGTGAAGTTTTTATTTCCCTAAATTTGTATCAAACCACTTTCTGTCTGCACAGTTAATATTATTACCAAATTATTAGTATTTCAAAAGATACCAATATTCATTTCATATGATGGGCTCTAGATCTGTTTTAATGCTGCCTCCTGGAGTCAAGTCCGTAGGTACTTGCCTTGTATGTCAATAAACACCAATTACATATATTATCATACAACATATGTAGGTGTATTGACAGATAAGGAAAGAACATGTGATAGAGACTACTTTGGGTACCAAAGGTGCCTTAGTAAAGCTCTATATCAGTAACGTGTGCACGACTACATTTGTTCAAGGCCTAGATCCCAGGGCTTGATCCATCAAAGAAAAATTCTTCTGGAAGTGAAAGGCATGGAGCATAGGTGCTCTACATTTTATCGCTAGCTAATGTTAATAAAAAATAACATGGCAGTATTTTTGCATTCCAGAAATTGCTCGACTTACTTTCGATTTCTACTAAACATAAAGATGATCTTACACAAATGAAGTTAGCATGAATTAAAATTTCACCATTCCTCCCACTACTAACGTATAAAATATATGCGAGTTCACAAAATGTCAACGCCACAATAACTGCATGACTGATCACTGACTGTAGTGCACCAAGTTTTCTTCATTTCTTGAAGCACTAACCAGTAAACCAAAATCTATTGGTGTTTTGTTTTCAACATTTTCAACCGAGACCGTCATTGTAACAATACAGTTTTGCTCTTTTTATTTGCACTGCCTGACTCATATTACATTCAAGAGTGCTGGAAACACCACTGGACTTGAGACGATGCACTGCATATCCAACACGTCTTAGATATCATTACTGAAGATTTTTTTCTCTTTTGAACACAGACTTTTTGAATCCTTTGTATGCAGGTGTGTCATAAAAAAATTGGCTTCGCAAAGGACAAATCAATACATCAACACTTTCTTCAGTTTGATGAAAGGTGTCGATCTAGGTTGAAGAAGAAGAAGTGTTGGTGCTCCACCGTCCTTAGCCTCTCATCTTCGTATCTATTGGGACCCACCCACTTTTTGGTGCAAGTGTATAAACGTATGATGCTTGAAATTCACAGAAAAACATCCAACAGAATAAAAGGTTACACGTAAATGATTCATTTGAAAGAATTGTCAAGCTTGCTGTGAGGGAGAAAACACCATTCTTACTTTGCTTGATGAAAAATATTATCAATCATCTGAATGATGGACGTCGCCATTTTGTTATCTACAAAAATCGAAACAGTTCCTGTCTTACGAGAAGCGAAACAAAATTTATTGTTTCGTTGATATCTATAAATCTGTCCGATTTTCTGACGTTCTAAGTAAAAACATATTTAATATAAATTATTTCCTTGCTATAGGTGTAACTTGTACAAATTCTTAACGGTAAATAATTATCGCAGTTTGCCATAGTTTTGAAATGTAAAATGTATTTACTATACACCGGAAATTGTCTGTGCGCAGACTCGTATCCATTGACAACTTTACGCTATCCCTGCCTCCATGAAGCAGATAAAAACAAAATTTGTGTAGTTGTTTAACGGGGTAAGTGCATTATTATTTGTCTTTTACACATAACACTCATACTGATATTTACGTTTAACTATATTTTATTTACGTCACTCATCAATATGTTGATATATGCTTTATTTTCTTTTTAAAATACTCATTGAACTCATGTCACTGACAACGTGCAAAATATAAACGCTAGTTTTGTGGCCGAATATTTTCTTCGGTCATCGTAACAATATATCGTTATCATGCATATATAGATTTAAAGAATTACACTAAGAACTTTTTAAGATTAAGAAACATGAATTTCACTCTGAATTTTTTAACGAGAAAGAGTATTTTTGTATGAATCCTCCTTGGTTACAATGTTACAAATTTGTAAAGTGGATGCTCCGATGTAAAGGTATACTGTAGGACAAATGTATTATGCAGGTTATCAAGTGTACGGATCCGCCAGACGTTGTAGTTTGTGAGCATATTGCATTAAGTAGAAAATTAAAGAAATAGAAAAAGTAAGATTACATATGTGTAAAAGAGAGCTCGAGTTTGATTTCAATTAAAGTCACCATGCACAGTTTTTGATGGAGAAGTTAAATTAATCGTTTTTAAATATTTGTTATGTTTATCTTTAACAGATAAGTCGCCATCATGGAGATAGTATATGTATATACAAAGAAGAGAAGTGAGTTTGGTCGCCAGTGCAACTTTAGTGACAGACCAGCTGAACTTCATGTTGATATCATACCAGATTCATCACAGGCAGAAAATTTCATTGAGAGGAATCCTGTTGACAATGGACTTCAACATGTACAAGAGATGTCCGAGCATGAGGTATTTGACATGCATATTCACAAAATGCACCTCTATAAACATTCACTTTGTGCCCACCACATGTACTGAAGTTGATATATTCTAGGCCAGTGCTAAAAATGAAAATTCATTATATATCTTCCTTGGTCGGTCCTATTTTCTTGATTCTTCAGTAGATACCAGATAGAATAAGTACTTCAGTGAGTGATAATGTTTTTATGTTCGTTCTCATCACAACACTACAGAAGTAAGATGGTTCTATAGTATTTCTGAACATGACTCAGGGTTTTCCATAATTTTGTTAGTAGTAGGCTGTGTAGTGAAAGTAGGAGGCTGGCCTGCCGTGTACGTGTAGTCGTGTACGGAACATTATTACGGAACTGGATTGGTGTAGGCGGCCAAATGATCAAAGTAGGCGGTCAAATGGGCCGGCAACCGGCTCTTATGGAAAACCCTGATGACTGCTATTTTCTTACATTGTCTAATCTAATCCTCACTATCATGAAATATAAATACTGTCATGGTTATTTTATTTCAATAATTGGTAAGAAATCACATTACACAAGTATGTTCAAACACATTTTTTGTTCTGTTTTATTTTGAAATAACCTCAGTTTTGGATAATCTTTAGATAATCGTTTCAACAGGTCAACACAGAAAGATTTGAAACAAGCACACGTGGAGTGAACCATACAGAAGGTGGCTGGCCCAAAGATGTCAACTCACAAGAAGTGGAACAAGTCACCAGATACAGGAAGAAAGTTGAGAAAGATGAAATGTACATTAACACAATTCAGCAACTTGCAACAGTAAGTTATTTTTAACACAACCCAGAGCACTCAGTAACCCTTATGAGCATGTTTTGACTCCCAAAAATGAGTTTAGAATCTCAAGTTTGAAAGAAAATTTCTGTTCTACATGTATTTACATCAAATTTTGAGTTAGTACTCCCTCTTCTACTAAAACATTTTTATTGTGATTTTTTTTTTATTTTTTTAGGTTATGGAACACTGCATTAAGCAAAACAATGCCATTGATATCTATGAGGAATATTTTGATGATATTGAAATAGACACTGTGGACGAAGTTCCATCAGCCAAAACTATAAATGTATTCAGGTAAGCTTACAGCACCTTATTCATAAAGGAACCTGTTCTTTGCACACCCCATAGGGCAATATACATGTGTCAGCTTTGACAGGGCTTCATTAAAATGAGAACATACATGTATCATTATATTACATTGTAGACATTTTGCTGAACATAAGAAATAATTGACAAACAGCTGACAACAATAATGAAATTAATGTTCATTCAATGTTTTGAGATATTTGAGGTTTAAAATTATAATACAATTTTCTATGAAATATTCTGAGAATATATATGTGTTTTAAGGGATCCCAATGAGATCAAAAGAACAGCAACAAACCTTTCCTGGTTCCCAGATGGTCCAAGGAAACTAGCAGTAGCCTACTGTAATATGGAGTTTCAGGGCTCCAGTCCAGACACCAGTATGGAGTCCTACATCTGGGATGTTGGTATGTTGCCTTTATATCTTTCTTGTTTGTTTATCATTGCTCATCAAGAAAAGGTACCATGGTATCTCACTCAAGATAGATGATGATGTTTTATATCTCATTTGAAAGAGAAGTTAATCATATCAGTATAAGATTGCTTTATATGTAATTTGGTGCTTTTCTTTCTTGTGTCATTGGAATTTAAAAAAAAAATATTCCTCATACTCAGGTTCAATTGAAAATACTACAGCTCCTCAAACATTGGTTGGAATCCTAAAATATTGACGCAGTTATCTTAACCTCCAAAGTTCAGTTGAGAATTATAGAAATAATGATTTGTTCTTGTTTGATTTAAATAACTTTTTATTACTGTTCTTTTAGTGATAATTCATTTTTAATCTTGATAAATGTTTACTTTTACAGAGAATCCAAACAAACCAGAGATGACACTAAAACCAGTGTCCCCATTAGTGTGTTTAGAATACAATCCTAAAGACTCCCATGTCTTGCTTGGCGGCTGTTACAATGGTCAAATCGGTGAGTTTATCATATCAGAGTTAAGGATTAAGTTTTTTCTTAATTCTCTGCAAATATAGAGAATGATGTAGGAGAATCTCTACAATAAGCTTTCAGGTTGTTTTTTTTTATTATTTATTTATTTATTTATTTATTTATTTATTTTTTGTCTGCTGTGTTATGTAATTATCTCCCTTTTACTATTAAATCACTGATTTTTTTTTCTGATTTAAGAAACAGACCATATCGATGGTTTTGTTAATATAATGGTGTGTTTATATGAGAATCACCCCCACCTGCCATATTGTTTTAACTACACCAGTTACCCAGAGAAAAATACCAGAATACTTCAAATTTCCATGATTCTATCAATTCTATAAACAAGACATAAGAAGGACAAAAATAATCTGACTAATGCTAATAAAATTAGGAAAAAGCAGTGGTTCAAGTATTTCTTGAATCTGAAAATGAGGATTTTATGTAATAACTTTTGTATCTATATGTACTTAGCTTACTGGGATACAAGAAAAGGCTCACAGCCAGTGGAAATGTCACCCATAGAGCACAGTCACAGAGATCCAGCTTACAAAGCCATCTGGATCCAATCCAAGACAGGCACAGAGTGCTTCTCCACATCCTCCGATGGTCAGGTGCTTTGGTGGGATACTCGTAAAATGGGTGAACCCACTGAGAAACTTTACCTGGATCCAACAAAGAAGCAAGACCCAACAAAAGCTCAAGGTGCCATGGCACTGGAATATGAACCCACAATGGTAGGTCACATCAGCAATATACATTTGAATAAAATTATGAAGAGTAATGAATTCATCAAATGAAATAAAAATGATGTTATTTTTAAGTAACAAATTAATTTTGTTGTCAGTCTTAATACTATGTAATATGTTTTGAGTAATATGTTCAGTTATCTGAAATGATTACACACTTAATTATATAGAAATTTTGTAAGTGTTTCTTTTGAAAAATTTTTCACCTGAATTTGTTTCTAGTTTACAATTTTGGATTTCACCGTTTTAATTATCATCTTTTCTAATCATTTCAGCCAACAAAATTTATGGTTGGATGTGAAACAGGAACAATAATGTCATGTAACAGAAAAGCCAAGACACCAGCAGAAAAAATTGTAGCATTATATCATGGTCACTTAGGACCAGTGTACTCTTTACAAAGGAATCCATTTTTCCCCAAAAACTTCCTTAGCGTGGGTGACTGGAAAGCAAGGGTAAGAAAATACTTTTACAACTTTGTAATTAGTTACTAGTGTGATTTGTATGACAACAGAAATGAAAAATCCAGCATTTAAATTACTTAAATTTGTTATCTAAATGTGGTTACTGGTTAATTTCTTGCTCTTAATATGATAACAAGATTATTTTAATAAGGTTTTTCAATAGTTAGATATTTTCCACTCTTTGTGTCTCTTTTGACACCCATCTCATGTGGAGGTGGCTGTTATAATAATGTCAAAACCATGAAAATAAAACCAGTTTACAACATCAAAGAACACACAGCAGCCAGGCCTATATTAGTCTCTGTATATTGATTGTTGGCATTGCGTTGTAGATCTGGTCTGAAGACATCAGGGAATCATCAATCATGTGGACACGGTAAGAATCTCATCAATGGCAGTATTTCTTAATATAAAGCAAATTCTTGTTTATCTAATCGTCTTTATAACTTTTTTTTTTACAGTTTCATAATTCCTGGGCTTAAAAAGAAATCTTCATCTGATTTATCTACATAATTAGTTCTTTTTATAATTAATTTTAGATGAACCAAATTAAACACATCTCTAACTCTTTAAAAAAAAAACCAAAGAAAATATAAAAGATTTTGCTTGTGATTTTGTTCAAATCATTAAAATTGCTTATCTTATGCATAATTTCTAAAAGTAGCAGCTTATGATAGTCATTCAATTTCAGCAAAAATGGTTCAACACTTCTTGAAGTATTCAAATTTATGTTGTGCATTTATATTGTAGACAATACTCCTCCTACCTGTCGGACGGCTCATGGAGTCCTGTTAGGCCCTCCGTGTTCTTTGTTACCAAAATGGATGGTACATTGGATGTTTGGGATATCATCTTCAAACAGAGCGACCCGACACTCAGTCTACAGGTACAAGTCATATACTTAAGCCATATGAAACTAAACTCTTGTTTCTCATATCACAATATCTCATTTAGATTGGGTTGTTGTTTAAGGACGAGAATTGATGAAGGCAGAGTTAATTTTGACTATGAGGGCATAAATACTGCATAAAACAATAAAGAAGAAAATAAACCAATGTCAATTTGGTTTCCAAATGAAGTATTTAATATCTTTGATAAAAATGAAAACAATAATGAAATATACTTAAAGCTTTGAAGAAAACAAGTTTTAGACTATTGGGAAGTCAGGAAATGCCTTTAAAACGAGATTTTCAGAGCAGAATTTTTTAAAACGCTATTGTCTTGTGATTCTTAAATTTCATGTTATTGAAGCATTGGATGCTTGTTTCAGGTTTGTGATGAGCCTCTTCACAGTTTACGAGTACAGGAGTCAGGACGTCTGATTGCATGTGGGTCACACACTGGTACCACAACACTACTAGAACTCTCTGAGGGCCTATGTACGCTACAGAGAAATGAGAAGAACTTGGTCACAGCAGTATGTATTCTCCTTATCTGTAAATGTGTTTCTTTCTTAAAGATACTTGCATACTTTTATGATTTTGAAGTTTGCAAGTTTTCATGACTGTCATATCAATATATCCATATAAAAAAAATTATGAATTTACCTTGTGTAAATATGATATAATTTATATCAACAAAATTGTAATGTTAAAAATTAAATTGAACAGAAAATTTTTACAGTTGTCATGATTTTCATAATTTATCTTTCAGTTTTTTTCATAACCCACTGACATGCTATATTTTATCTTTATACAGATGTTTGAGAGAGAGACAAGGAGGGAAAAGATTCTTGACTCACGCCACAGAGAGATGAAACTTAAGGAACGATCTAAGAGCTCAGCTGACAAAGACAAGGTAACCATATAAAAGGCTTTCCCTATAAATTGATGTCCAAATTTTCTCAAAATACTTAGAATGAATATTATTTCAATCACAGACAGCATTTTGAAGAATGTATAAAGATAGAAGACAAAGTTTAACCCCAACAAGAGGCCCATGGGCCTTAACGGTCATCTGACATAAAATACTAGATTTCAAACATGAGAAGAAGTGGAAAATGTGTTTTCAAGATGGCAGCCATGGCGGCCATGTTGGATTTCAGACCAACCCGAAATTAACAAACTTTGGTCAGAATCATGTCACAATCATTTCAGGTAAGTTTCAGCTCAATGAGACATGTAGAACTTGAGAAGAAGTTGAAAATGTTTACAACGGACGACACCAGACAAAAGACGATCGCAATAGGTCATTAGACCCTTCGGTCAGATGACCTAAAAATGTAAATGGGAACAGAATGAAATTTCTCTATGTTTTTGTATTGTTTTCTAAAGTCCAGGTGGGAGACATGTTTTAGTGAAATAGCCCTATATGACACTGCAATTAAATCCTATTTCATTAAAATATTTTTTCTAAAATTGGATGGATCTAAGTTTATACCATTTGCTGTTTCCAAGTAAAAATGTTCATGGTTTCTTTCATATATTGAGCAAAAATTTTGTATTTTTTGTTACAAATGTTGATTTTAAACTCTCTTGACTTACAGGAGGATGAAGACAAAGACAATGATATGGAGGAGGAAGATCTGTATGCCAAGGCAGAAAAGGAATTCTATGATGTCATTGAGAAAGAAAAGAAAAATCTGGAAAAGAAACAAGCAGATCAGACGGACACAGACAAGGCAGACACAGGGAAACAGTCTCCGATAGCAGAGGAAGGGGAAGAGGAAAAACCAACGGAAAATGAGGAGAAATCAGACACCAAAAAATAAACTAACGTTTAAATGTAGAACAAAAATAAATAATATGAGAGATTCTTGCAAATAGTTGTAATGATTGAGGTCACATTCAGTGGAAGAAGACAGTATGACTTCAAATTAAAGAGACTGAAGTTTTTAAATCATGACGGAGAAAAAATGTCTCCCTCCGGGCAGATTTCAGAGGTAAAGAAGTGCTCATGTATTTATTGCAGACAAATTTCAAATTATCTAAATTGATAACAATATTTTAAAACAAAATATTAGAATCTTACCTGGATTGTGAGATACATAGTTTATTTACTATCAGTGCTAATGTTTTGTAAAAATACATAGAGCATACATTTAGAACTGTCTGTGAAGCAGTGTGATTTAAAAGACTTGTGATATTGAATGATCAATTTACATTTGACATCATTTCATCCGGACCATAAACCTGTTTTCTGATCTGATTATCGTAAATCAGAAATTGTTTATCTTTTTTATATTGATAAAAATGTATATCTATTTATATACAATGTATGAAATGAACGAAAAAAAAAATTGTTAAAATAAAAAATGCTTAAAAACATTTTAAAGTGTATTTCTTTGTCTATAAAATGTTATTTAACAGATAAAGTACCCCCATTCAATTATTTCTGACTTGGAGTATGAAGTCATAAGCCAGTCCCTGAGCTTACTGTCACTAAATATGGTAGTTTTAGTGAAATAAATGATGAATTTTAAAAAAAGTGAAGTGAACTGAACCCAGTCAATGATGGGTTCATGTATATTCAAGTTATTTTTGTGTTAAAACTGATATTGTTTTTCTGATATTCCTGTTTAGTAATGATTAAAATCAATGATTGGGGGGACTGTTAAGTAAAATGAATACTTTTTGAATATTTTTATGGTTGACTGATGTCAAACAGTAACAGAAAAGGATTTTAAGCACCATATTCACCAAAGAATAATCTTTTACAATGGTCAATTTATACAATATTTTTATTAAATAATATGATGATATTGTATATACATTATAACTGGGATTGTAAGCTTTTCACGTTTATGTTAAGTAGTATACATGAAATATCACCAAGATGATGTCTTGACACATTGAATTTCTTCTGAAAAAATCTTTGTTCAATTTTCTGGCCAGATCTGCCAATATTATTAACATACATATAGGAACGATGTTTTCTCTTAGTAGGCGTGCGTTCCATTGTGTAATATGAAATTTAAGCTGTTTCCAACGATGTTAGCTCATATACATAACAGTTGTATCGACATTAACCCGGGTCTCGTTTTGGGAACGTGGGATCAGTGTTAGATTTACAAGGCGTTGTATTTAACAAAAATCTTGGAAGTAGTCTCGAAATCTCATAGGTGGGGTAAAGACTTATAATTTCAGTAAGGAATCACATCTAGATGTATTGCAAAAATGGATATTAAGGCAAAGAGTCAAGTTTGATCAAATTAACACCTTTACATAAATAACATTACTGAAAATCTATATCCAATGTTGACTAGATATCACGTCTACTACTCTATCATACATTCTACGACGCATGGGCTTGGACGTGTGTTGATCCATATTACATCCACACTTTGTAGTACATTTCATGTCAAACATCACCATTTCGTGAAGATAACGATTATTATCTGTTACATTTGTTTTATACAGGGTACTGCGATCTGTAATATTTGGTATCCCACAAAACGATGTGCTGTCCAAAGCCACGGGTGTTTGTAGGTTCTGGCCTCTTCATTTCCTACTACTGTACAAGGGTGATAACTAGATCGATCGCTTATCGATAAGCGTGTATTGATTAACATTTCTAGAGCATGTGACCTAAACTGATGCTGCTTCTAAAGCTGACATTAACTATTTAGTCTAAGGATGCAATTGAGTAAATTCAAAGACCTGTGCTATTCAGGTCTCTGATGGAATAACGGATAGAGATGAATGTATTTTAAACAAAATATCTCATTGACATAGATATTTATATATCTTAAATCCGTAGTTACGTCGTCTGTTGTTTTGTTAACAAAATTTTGTCCGACGTAGAAATATAAGGTTTTGTGTACATTCATATGTACAAGGAAAACAATCATCACCGGCTTTCAAGAAAAAAGGGCCGTAACTCTTACAGGTGTAGCTCTTACATACATATATCACGAATTCTAATGAGTTTTTAAAAATTATCTTTTACGTTTTAATCTAAGTAAATGATCAGAATACTTTCATACTTCTTACATCATTCTATATATAATATTTATTTTGAAAATGAGGATATATAATAAAACATTTTGCTATTGATACCAATTTTCATTTTGTAACAATTGGAAACATTTTCAACAAGTGTTGAGGGATAGAAAATTTGATATACGTTTATAGGCACCTCCTGTCGAATTAAAGAAACATCAAGGATTTTTCCCATTTGAAGTGACAACGATTCCGAATCCGGGTAAGTTTTAGGGATATAAATACAGTAAGACATGTGTGTCATCACTTGACAGAGTATTATCGTTCTTTCATACATGTGTCACCATATCAGTGTCACCTGTCTAAACAACTCAACGCTTTGGTGGGCGGTAGTGTACACTTAATAATACGCAATATCTTGCATCCTGCAACTTTTGGACTATTATCGTAACGTCACCGAAACGGAGGTATTTTTTCATATTTATTCAATCGAAGCTTTGTTGTCATACCAAAGGGAATGGTGGGCTTTAATTATATAATAAATACAACACAGCTTGGTATTAAAACTATAGTATTCACAGATAATTAAAAATAAACTATTATTTGATAATATTTGATAAAAACCAATTAACGATACATGACAATGATATCGTAACAAATTTAGCCAGAAAAACATTGATTTGAAAATTTGCGTTTGTAATTGTTTTTAATGTGCCGTTAAATATGCATATTTGTTACAAGTCCTTTTACCATTACTTATATCAATATTGTACGTTTGATAAATTGAAACCGTGTCGTTTTTATCATAATCCAGATATAGACTAGCACGCGGATTCCACGGCCTCGTATCTGGTACCGGTCAATACTGGGTACTGGTGTCCGTGTTTACATTAGTGTCATCTTTCTGATGGCCGTATAAACAATCCAACACGTCCGTGTTTACATATCATTACCTGTTGTCAGTCCTGAATTCCGACATTATTTACTTTCATGTTCATATTTCGTTTGATGATAAAAACAATAAAACCATGTAACTGTTCTATTTGTGACAAAGTTCGATAGACCCTAGATAAGCGATAACGGACGACTACACAGTAATAGATCCATACCATTTTTTGTGATCGTGGGTGATGAACTCATTGAAGTAAAGCACAACGTAACATTAGAATACACTAACATTATGATAGACGAGTATTAGGTGAAAATGCAGCCACGTAGTCAAAGCACCGACATAAAATGATTTCACGAATGTTTGCAATATTCTCTTATCTAATTGGATAAACAGGATGTTGTCATATGTTTCCGTTTTATGACACATGTTAACGAGACTTGTCACTTGTTCGTTTTAATCCGCCAGATACACCAAGAAATAAAAAAAGGTCAGTTGTGATAAAATCTTTAACAGAAACTTGCACCAAGAGTCACACGGTCATGATATTTGGTTTGTAGCACGGCAGATTGACGGACTATTCAGTATGTTCAAACGGGTGACCTCGACACACTTTCAAGTCAACAGCGGTCATATATTAACATATTTGAACGACTTCACATATAGTAACTAAAATGTCCAGTGTATTTATATTGGGTCTGTAGCATACTGTGATGAAGGGTTACCAAGTTTGTTAAACCTAATTATCTCGATCAAGTTTCAAGGTCACAAGAGCCATATGTGTTAAATTCTTTAAAAAAAATTCTTCTGAATTACCAAGAAGCTCAGGGTAGTGATATTGGACATGCTGTATTCTGGTTTTTGAAGGAACACGATGTTTGTTCATAAGAATTACCTTGCCCTCTTCAAGGTCACAGGAGTCAAACGTCTTACAATATTTAAAGTAGCCTATGATTGTAATATTGCTCCAGTAAGTAGCATGCTGGGATAAATGGTGTCCAAGTTTGTTCGAATGAATGACCTTGACCGCTCTCGATATCAAAGTGTCAAATGTTTTACAACTTCAACCCTCTTTTTATTCGTGAAGCAAATAAGCACTGGGTCATGGCTTAGTGTGGTATCGTGCTTGGGGAATGTGCTTTTACGGTTAACAGAAAGTTATTTCCCATCTTTTTCTGACTATAAAATATGAATAAATACGTGCTGCATTAATAGCCGTAGGTATTTTCATTACTACCCGATTTAAATGCGATTAAATGCTGGCCTCTTGTTTGCTTGCGGAGTCTTCCAATACTTAACCTTTTTATGTGGTGGTGGTGGTTTGGGAATTCTTCAACGCTATATAACAACTACTTAACGATTGATGATATACGAAAGACGGTAGAACATCACTGTAGCTTTCATGTGGATTTCTTTGATCTATGTGTCAAAACCTATCCATCGCCTGTCTTTCTTGTCAGACGAAAGCTGTGACCTTTCACATTTATGTGTGTTAATACGTCAGGCAAAAAAAAATCAATGGAGACTGTAGCACCGCTATGGCCCGTGTGCGGGATCCACCCCACAGTTGAACTCATCAACAAAACATATCATGCGGTCCCTTTTATTATCTCTTGCGCATGTCAGCATCACACCGATAACACAGATAGTTCCCGTCCTTCAACTCACTCGCGATACTTTAGGCTCTGATACACTACAAAGTACAATGAACTGACTTTCTGTTTTATGTAACTGTATGACGTCTGTGGCAGATATGGTTAAAGTATATGGTTTCAATGTCCATGCAAAAATCCATTTGTAATCAAATGGTTGTGCTAGTTGTTGAGTTTCCTCAGTCGCCCCACAGGCTCCAAAATTTAGACTGCTAGTATCAGTGACTGGTCCTACACGGACGAAACAGCTGTATGATGCTGTATCTAATTATTAATTTGTAATAAATGGCTCTGTTAATTAACATGTGTCTTTTATATAAGGTGTTTTGTTTTAGGATTCTGATTCTGTGTCTGTTACATTAGAAGCTGTTTTGTTTTAGGATTCTGAATCTGTGACTTTTGCATAACTTTGGAAGCTGTTGAGTTTTGATACAATACTATATTTTTCTCTGAACCTTTTACAATCTGAAAGGCCTTAAATCAATATTTGGATATGTAAATCCATGCCTTTTGAACCGAGTGGATGTGTACCTTTCTGAGTTCCACACAGAGGTAAGTAAATTGAGAATTTTGTCATTGGGTGTACGTAAGGAAAATAAACATCCACGAATCGGAATGAAACGAAGCCTATTGGGACTGTAAAGATACACAAGTATTTGAAAACGAATGAAAACAAACAGAAGAAACTATGTATATATGTAAATTAGGTTACCTATATTTGTCCTAAATAGTGTCTCCACAAATCCTTTATTGAAATATATCGTTTAAGGCAGTTCTTTTAAAGTACTCACGCGGTCTTTCCAATCGTTCAACTACCATCAAACTAGGGAGTTCGTCAGATTTCTCTCACTTGTCCTCTCTCACTCGTCCTCTAAAAGGCCGAAAGGCCGTAATAGTGGACGTTAAAGTTGTTAAATAAGTTAGTGATATCTGGTGTATACTGTATGGAACATCACATACTTTTGTACCTACAGATACGCCAACGGTAAAGACAAAAAATCTTCGTAGCAGTTTCATATCCATTCACCAAACCATACCACCACGTGCATTGCAGAAATGTAGCATGTAAATAGGTTTGTTTGTTTGTTATTGTATTTTGTGGGAATGGTGGGGGAGGGGAGGAGAGCGAACTTAACTAACGTCCTCGCAATACACAGGTTCACATGAGGACGGGTCATAAAATGGACACCAAGAATTGAAAATATAGCCCTGAAAAAAATTATCATAAAAAAGAAATAAAATAAAGACCACAAGCGTTGTAATGGGGAAATAAGATCTCGTCTCGTCAATGTCACCTAGTTAGAAGATACAAAAGAAAATCCCAGATTTTGCATAGAGCACGCATTTAGTCGCACTCTTACGATCATGCATTGGAATACAGCTGGCATTATTATCCAATGACCCATCATTGGTGGCAACAGCAAAATCCCAATAAACTGTTCTTGACGACATGCGGCGGTCCTCTCGTACGTTGTTCAATATGGTAGTCAATGGACTACAATGACACCCGGACTCATAATTGCCCTATCTGTTAAACTAAAATCCAAACAGTATTAATGTATCAACAATCTAAATTTATTGTTAACCATAACGGTCTACTCGTTTACAATTTTTTTTTCTAAAAATCACTTTTTATCCAGATTTCTGTTAGATCTATGCTCTCTTTATTTCGTGTATCCAGTAACGTTCCAAACTCTTTGAGAGGATGACGTTCCCACTTCTTAATGCATATATACATGGTTTACACAGTTTTATAAACCTTGTAAAAGAATTTTACGTCCTCAGTGTCTACAATCGTTATCGGGTAAAGATTGTACCTTGAAAACCTAAATCAGAGGACATCAAATCAGATAAAATCGAACATATTTCGATCGTGTAGTTTACGATAACTAGAACGGACTGATGCCATAAATAACTATCTCAGGTAGATTTTCCTTCGATTTTTCTCCAGTCATCCGGCATAAGCAGGCACTTTTTTCGCGGAGTAATTCTACCGCGAATCAGCCAACTTCTCGTCGATAGCTTATTGATTCTCGTGTTCAGTGGAGTGTGACGGTATCGTGGCGCTGTCACAACACGTTTTCCTGTCGTCTGTCAGTGTGGTCGTACCTGTGCTGTGGTTTGTGTATTACGGGTACATTGTACAATGACAGGCAATCGGTAACCAACTTTTGCGGAGAGAAGAGGTCAGGATTACACGGAGTGAACTACAGTGACCAAAATTCGGGAGATACACAGAATTTTAATGTTCATGATGTGTTCGCCATTTTCGGTTTCGAAATTATAACGGTGAGGAACCTGTTTATAAAGGTGATTTTAATAAGTGTCACGTTCACATGTGATCATGCTTTTACCGACATAACGGGATAGTTTACACGAAGTAATGGCAGATACCAAAACCAAAGGAGGCGGAGAGCAGACACTAACGGTGGGTAACATAGTTTTGTGTTATTAGATCCAGTACCTGTTGACATCTGGTACAATGATAAAATAGGCCTTCCACCTACAGATTTCCAGTTTAAAAGACATGTTGAAATTGAAAATTTACATGAAACATCATCTAAATCCAATCACACATTTAATCATGATTAATTCATTTCAAAGGATTACTTTATGTGTTGCCTGGACCGAAAATCCCTGTCTCTAAAATAATGATTTAACATCAATATTTACATTCACAATAAATGTGAAGATTGACATTAAATTATCAATTTAGAGTCAGAAATTTTTGGTTGATGTGTTACCCAACAAAAATTAACATAATATACAAATTAAATTTTCTTTTCTTTTTTTCTAACAAGTAATTTTTTTGTGCAACCAGAAAAAACAGTTTCATTTCATATATAGCATACGATTAATTAAAATCTTGTATGTTAAAATAAAATTGACAAATTCACATTCTTTTTGAAACTTTGAATTTTTTTCCTGTTGAATCAGACTTTTTCTTAGAGACTATGTCAGTTTGTCTGTTAGCTGAGTGAATCTGTTGAGTATACTTGTTGAATTTTTAAAAATGATTTGTATTACAATCAGATTGAGACTGAAATGAAATGGTACCAAGCTACAACTAACGTCAGAAAATTTGCTGTTGATGTTGTGAAAAAAGTCCCATTTTTGATAGAACTTTTCCTCTTGGACTCACTTAAATTTAGAGAACCCTCTACAGTTTTTAGTATATAGACACACCAAATGTTTTGGAAGTAGTGTTCTTGACTAGATAGCTCAAATCTTACATGTAATGTAGTGAATAAAAAATTCTAGGTTGTCATTGATTTAAGGTAAATGACTGAACCTGAAGCACTTGACAATCATATATAGCTGATTTGTCTCGAGGTTATTTGAGAAAGCCTGGTTGCTGTCAACTAGTTCTGAATGATGCAGCCAAATTGGATTTCACATCATTGTCACATTCTCATAACCATGCCATTTTCAAAATGGTAAAAAAATATATATATATATCCGATGTAGAATCTTTTGAACAATTCAATAACTGGCAAGATGAGCTAAAGTGTATTTAAGGTCAAAAGTTCAGTTACCAGTAAGTTCAACATAACAGTGCATTTGGTAGATGAAAAAAAAATTGAAAGCAAATATTTTCTGGCACACAAGATTAGCTCTTTCAGGAGTTGCAATACTTAAGTTATGGAAGCTCGTAGCAATATAAGCTGATAGCTTGCAGCCTGGCAGTTTTAGCATGAACTGGCATTCTATCGAATCTCAAGAGTATTGCAAGGGTTAGGGTGCCCACAGGAATAATGTTACTGGGTATATAGGGAAACTGAGCTTTCGTCTAATGAACAAAATCATGAATATTAAAGTCAAACCTTTAAACATACCTGAGGTATTGGAATAATACAATAAACAATTTCAGTTGGTCATTTCAGATAATTTTAGTTTGTGAAATTATAATGTAAGCAGTATAGTGTCATTTGGTAAAAAATAATTTTTAGAAATTGAAAGATAGAGTAGACATTTTATCCGAAAGGAAATAGAAACAAAAAGTCTGTGCTAGTGAAATTGAATATTCACATTGTGTTTCAAACATAGATAATACTTTGTATACCTAAAGTATCAATATTTAATATTTAAAAGGTACCTAAAGAGTTATGTATGTTAATGAGATTAGGTTTCATTAGGAATGTAGCTTCAGTTCTTTATCTGTTGTGTATCGATAGAAATTTGAATTTAAAGGTAAAACACAGGTAAATCAAAATGCTGTTCAGCTGGACTGTTCTGTTAAACTTACTGGTTGAAGAGAGTGGGACTTTTCAATAGATACCTGACCATTTGCTAACATAATTTGTGACACCAATAAAGAAGTTGTGATAATATTTTGCAAAAAGTATGCAATAGAAATTAATTGACCATCACCTAACCCCTTTACTTAGGAATTTGCTGGAGAAACTTTGTGAGAGAACTTTAGTAATGTCTTAGGACCAGGATTTCATATGCAATTGAATTGACAAGAAGTACATGTCTCTATATTAATGCTGACTGTAAGATATGAATCACTTGACACTTAGAGATTTCAGAATTTTTTCACTTTTTGACTGGGATGGAGAGTCATCTCAAAACATGACAAAGTAAAGACATTACTGAGGGTCTACTGTATTGATTATACTACACTATACTTATACTAGATTTTACTTGTGTTCCAGTATATTTTAAATTTTTCTCTTGTAGTGAGTTGCATTTTTAATGGGATTTATACTTGGATCATTGTGGCCATTAATCATTTAGCACAATGTAGACAAAAGTGCCAGAGGGAGAGATGACTTGTTTTTCAGCTGGCATATATTAAGCCCTGTATTAACCAGTATATTTTTCCCCTCGGTGTTTGGAACTATCCCAATTATGCTTCAATTTGATTTAAGATATAAGATGGAATAGCATCTTAAAAACAAGAAAATCTGTGTGACCAGTTTTGCTTGAAAATAAATGGTAGAAGTTTAAGTGTATTGGACATATATGTACAATCTCTGTGTGTGACTCTGCATGGTATATACTTAAATGTATGATCTATCTATCCATCTACTATGCCACATTGTTCAGATCATGTCTGAAATATTGATTTAAATATCTTAAGTGGAATGACAGATTCTTTAGAAATGGCCTTATCAAGTGGTATGTGTATAAGTTTAGTATACAAAGATGGGTATTGGATGATAAGGTTAGCATTAATGTATGTATGGAAAAGCAGTCTGTAATTGAGACAGGTAACATAACTATGTCCAATATCACCTGTCTAGGTTTTCGAGGGGAGATAATTAGTGCAATGTGAATTATAACCCCGTCTTAGTAAGGCTTCATGATAACTTTGCCAGTATGTTCATCTGTAAGTGTGTCTTTTTATAAATCTCACGATGAACTCCTCAACAGGTTACTTCATTAATGTAAAGTTCTATACCTGATTAAGTATGGTTGCTCAATGGTCATAATGGTCAAGGTAAATTAATGAAGCTTACAGTTGATCACCTGAAATAAAAAGTTTGTGTACAAGATATCTCCTCCACCAATCATATCCACACCATAGTATTACACCATGATGTTCTACACGTTTACATTTTGACACAGATAAAAGGGCCCATGGCTTTTCTACTTCTAGAATAAAAGACTGTTGTACAAGATATATCTCATGAACTCTTTTAAACATATTAACAGTAAACCTTAGGTCAGTTAGAACAAAATTAATTGAATTTTGTTCAACCAGTTCAAATTATATGAAATCATGCTTGTGAAAATAAATTACAGTTAGAACTATAAGGGTCAACATAGCCCAAAATCATGACAGTGTCTAAAAGCATCCTAGCAGAGCAGGAACTGCTGGTCCGTAGTTAAAAATGAAATGATCAGGTGGAAGGGGTTACTAGTGTATTTACTTTGAATTGTGAAATTCAAGGTAAATTTTCAGCAGGATTTGGGGCAGAATATGGAACCAATTCCCTAACCAATAAGGGGCTATTACAAAAACTATATTTTCCCCAATCCCAACTATAAATTCCCAAAGGAATGGCAGTTGAACAAAATGTTAAAAAGTTTAGATGGTATCAAATTCCATGCACAGTTTGTTGACAGCCAGTTCTTGGCTTAGATGATTTGGGATTTGTTTCAAGAATGTACAGTCTCCTAGGTAGGAAAATAAACCTATGGAGATTGATTAAAAAATTAGAACGTTTCTGTGTTTCAGTATAATATTTCCCTCATTAGAGATTTCGATGTATTTTTTTCCCAAAAAATCTGAAGCCAATATGGACTGGATTGTTTAAATAGTTGAAAAAGTCCAGACAAAAACATTTGCATGTGACATAACTTATATATACTGATATAACTAACCACAGAACTGCAGGTCAGTACCACATTTCTTCATTAAATGAGAGAATCTGTTTACAAGGAAACTTGCACTGTATGGTTATTTTGATTCAAATCAAACTTTTCATTTTCCCCACTATTTGCCATAAAATACATAAATGTACACATTTTACATAAAAATGTTTACATGATGGTTTGTCTCAACTTTTCTAGTTTAATGCTTTGCAGGTTGCTCTCCGAATCCGCCCTTTAAATGAAGATGAGACTATGATGGGGGCTAGTACTATTGCCCACAAAGTTCAAAAGAAGGTAAGTTAGACACGATTTTCTGCATCAAGTCTTCCAAGGTGAATGTGCCAAACGAAATGAAGTTTATTGAAATAGCAGTATGTCTTCATGCCTATATGCATTTGTATATTACTTTTTTCCCTACATGAAACGATAAAATCTTCAGCCTTTTTTAATGACCGGAGATGCTGTCACACATGACCCTCTATGGCCTATAGTGAAGGAGATATAGATAATGATTATCAGACTTGTACGTCACATCACCTTGTTTCATAGGTTTTTCCATTAGATTCTCTTATTTATTTATTCACCTCTGACAGATGAAGAGTTTATCACAAATAATATAAATTGTAACTCACATTCTATCCAAGGTAGCAAAATGTTTATCACTCATAACTTTGTAGGTGAATATTAAAAGAAGCAAATTCAAATGTTAAGAGGAGGGGTATTACTTAGCTTAATATGATTGGTTGTATCTAACTATAATACTGTAAATGTTATTTGTCTGTTGTTATAAGATTTATGCTTTTTACAGTTTTCTAACCACAAATTTTAGTAAAAATCTAGTCCAATATACATTGTGGATAACTCATTTACTCTGTCAATTAAGTTTATGCTTCATCATTTTACTGATTCTGGGAGTGATGTAAGAACATTTAAAATTTACCAATTTAATTAAAAACTATAATTGTAAAGGTATGATTTTTACTACCTTGTGGAGGTGGGAATTCTAACGAAGTATCTTTATTTTGTTAAAATTAACTGGACGATGTGGAACCATATAGCCTGTCTTGTTATTCTTATACTTCATAACATCAATAGGGTGAAAAATTGATCCTGTGAAATATTCAAATTTACTTAAACTATAACAGTTTAGTCCAGCAAATGATAAAAATACATTAACAGCTTGAAAACTATTTGTAATGCACATGAGATGTGTGTAATGCTACATGTTATACATCTTTTGATACTATTGTTAGCCTCATGCTAAACTGAGGCCTTAAGGGGGCATGTCCATGAGGGTCAAATCTTTCGGCTTGCCATTGAACAATTTTCTTTTATGTTCCAGTTTTGATGATGTGAACATACAGTATGGTGTATAAGATACACCAGTTTGTCAGGAATTAAATTTCTAGTTATAACAAAATAGCAATGTCAGAACTGTGATTGTTCAGGCCCATAGATGCTTCAGAATAGTTCCAATTTAATTGTTATTTTTCCTATAAGCAACCCCGAGGCACATTGATCCTTCCTTGTTCACGTATATAATGTACAGGTGCAATCCTACTTTCAAATACAAGGGTTCTTACCTTTTTTACCTTGTTTCCAAGCATATTGTCAGTATGGTATTTATCCTGAAGTAAGTCCCCTCCCCTAGTGGTAAAGTTTAGTAATAAAAGTTTGGAAGGGTTTATTTGTTAACTACTTTCAGCTTAATTTTTGAATTGATAATTATGCATAAATGAAGAAGAGTGCTTATTTATGGACGGGATGAGCTTATTTGTAAATACATACAGTATCTATATCTGTGCTATATATAGCTATCATTACATTGTACCTAAATAATATACCTTTACTGTAAGAATTGAGTTTAAGGAATAGCTTGATCCTTGTATATTTAGGTTACTGGGCTTGTATTAGTTTTGTTATGTCAGAATAAGGCCATGGTGATCACTTTGTCAGCATTTTTTCAGTGGAATGCTTGTAACTGGGACATACCAATATTGAACTCTTGTAGACAAAGCATGTTTACTCTAATTGTTAAATGGGCTATTACATGTACATATCTGCCATGTGAAAAGATTCAGTCAGGCTGAAAATTTGTTATTGTGAAGTAAAAAAGTCTGTGGAAGTAACCATGAAGTAAAGTTACATGATGAGATAGATACTATACATCCGGGTCAGAATATATGGATAGTGTCTATCGGCTAAATCATGTACGATTGATATTAGTAGAACATTTATGCATGATGCATAGTTTCTTTGTAAACATCTGACCAACTACTGAAAGAACTTTGAAATCTTGAAATCTGTGTAGGCAATAATACTTTAAATAAAAACTAGTATATCAATTTAAGAAAGTACCTTTTTCTGTGGCCAGATTGTTAGCTCAACTTTTTTTAGGGTTTATAAAAAAGAAAAGCTGACAGGGTGGTGATGGTGCAAGAGATATCCACAGATACCTTTGTTCAATCCTCTGTAATGCCCAATGATGACCTGTTCTTGAATACATGACTCAAAAGTTGATACAAAATGTCTTGAGTTAAAGCCCTTCCAATGTGTTAGTCTCATCATGGGACTGAGCAAGGGATAGAACCTTGAAACAAAGTCATGGCACAGATCAGTATTATAAACAGTGTAAGGGGTAATGGTGGTATGTTTCCTGGCCTAGAATTGACACAAAAGTATCGTTTACACATGTGGCCTTGCATGGGTTATACCCAACGTATATCATAATCCCTAGCATAACTTGGTACTAGACACCAAAGTTGAATACCTGTAACACATAGCCTGTGCATAATCCTGTCTAATCCATTGGTATATAAAAATCAGAGAGTCACAGGCGTCACCTGTTGGAACAAAGTCACAATTTTACAGAACCATGCATACTTTGGCACTCCATGTGCCGAGTATAATTACAGTTTATGATGTAGATCTTTTGCTTGTATATTTGCAGATGTTAAAATTATTTTTTCTGTCATAGATTTGAAAGAATTGCAGAGTTCAAGAATAATTTATTAGAATGTTATTATAATGTAATAATTTTTGTATATGGTTTACTATCTTTGCTGAGTTTTATACAATAAAAATACCAAATCTTGAATACATTCATCAAAATATTGTTAGCTTTATCAGAATCATCCTTGTTCGCTTCAATTGAGATGTAAAGTTATGTAATCTATACAGAATTTGTGACTCAGCATTTAAGCCTGTGTAGTGCTGGAGATTTCAGTAGGATGTTTATGTGTGCATTAATATACATTGTACATTACTAGGCTTGATTTTGTAATTCCACTGCTATCAAGTGTTTAAAACTTGGATAAGTCTTACACCTCTCATATTGAAAAACCGTTGGGAATATGCAGGGTACTTTATCAGCATTAGTCACCATTTACATGTTAAGTGTTACATAGCAGCAGTAGATAGCAAAGCACTTTGGGACACTTTTGAAGAGGGAACCTCAATTATATTGCCTGTACTTTTTAATTTTTTTCTTGATAAGAAAGTAGAAAGATGTCATGTTAAGGGAGTTTTTATATTTGTTTAATACATTTGTCAAAACTAACTCTTGAAAGTGAGGTTATTGCTTAAAATCTCCAACAAGCATTGATAAATAGCAACGTTTTTTTAATGACACACCTTGAAGATCACATTGGTAACAGCATTGTTACTGCTATTTTGTGGTACATTAACATGATCATGATAACTGTCCTCATTAGTGAATCAACTAATTGGTATCAATTACCTGTAGGTTTGATCATCCCTTTATACTGTCTATACTTATTACCTGTAGGTTTGGTCATCCCTTTATACTGTCTATACTTATTACCTGTAGGTTTGATCATCCCTTTATACTGTCTATACTTATTACCTGTAGGTTTGATCATCCCTTTATACTGTCTATACTTATTACCTGTAGGTTTGATCATCCCTTTATACTGTCTATACTTATTACCTGTAGGTTTGATCATCCCTTTATACTGTCTATACTTATTACCTGTAGGTTTGATTATCCCTTTATACTGTCTATACTTATTACCTGTAGGTTTGATCATCCCTTTATACTGTCTATACTTATTACCTGTAGGTTTGATCATCCCTTTATACTGTCTATACTTATTACCTGTAGGTTTGATCATCCCTTTATACTGTCTATACTTATTACCTGTAGGTTTGGTCATCCCTTTATACTGTCTATACTTATTACCTGTAGGTTTGATCATCCCTTTATACTGTCTATACTTATTACCTGTAGGTTTGATCATCCCTTTATACTGTCTATACTTATTACCTGTAGGTTTGATCATCCCTTTATACTGTCTATACTTATTACCTGTAGGTTTGATCATCCCTTTATACTGTCTATACTTATTACCTGTAGGTTTGATCCTCTGTTTATACTGTCTATACTTGTTACCTGTATGTTTGATCATTCCTTTATACTGTCTATACTTATTACCTGTAGGTTTGATCATCCCTTTATACTGTCTATGCTTATTACCTGTATGTTTGATCATCCCTTTATACTGTCTATACTTATTACCTGTAGGTTTGATCATCCCTTTATACTGTCTATACTTATTACCTGTAGGTTTGATCATCCCTTTATACTGTCTATACTTATTACCTGTAGGTTTGATCATCTCTTTATACTGTCTATACTTATTACCTGTAGGTTTGATCCTCTGTTTATACTGTCTATACTTGTTACCTGTATGTTTGATCATTCCTTTATACTGTCTATACTTATTACCTGTAGGTTTGATCATCCCTTTATACTGTCTATACTTATTACCTGTAGGTTTGGTCATCCCTTTATACTGTCTATACTTATTACTTGTAGGTTTGATCATTCCTTTATATATGATACTGTCTATACTTATTACCTGTAGGTTTGGTCATCCCTTTATACTGTCTATACTTATTACCTGTAGGTTTGATCATCCCTTTATACTGTCTATACTTATTACCTGTATGTTTGATCATCCCTTTATTCTGTCTATACTTATTACCTGTAGGTTTGATCATCCCTTTATACTGTCTATACTTATTACCTGTAGGTTTGGTCATCCCTTTATACTGTCTATACTTATTACCTGTAGGTTTGATCATCCCTTTATACTGTCTATACTTATTACCTGTAGGTTTGATCATCCCTTTATATATGATACTGTCTATACTTATTACCTGTAGGTTTGGTCATCCCTTTATACTGTCTATACTTATTACCTGTAGGTTTGATCATCCTTTTATACTGTCTATACTTATTACCTGTAGGTTTGGTCATCCCTTTATACTGT